GAAGAATTGCCCTACCAAATGCTCGGCCCTCGGACCTGCCATCGGAGTGAACGCTCTTCGACTTCTCCTCAGGCCGGTGCTCATCACTGCAGCGTGAAAAACGTGAAGTGCACGGTCGAGAATCACCCCGCACGCTTTCCATACCGCCAACGCACTCGACAGTTGTTCGAAGCAACAGGGTGGACTTTGTCGAGCATTTCAACACAGAATAAATCTCTGTAATGCTGATTCCAGTGTATACTGTTCTCTTTCTTATCTCTTTGGGGACTTCAGTTTCGATATCTAGATGGAAAACCAGAACATCGGGACCGCGAACAAGGTTCCGATGGGAATCGGTAAGCGAAGACTTACGTCCACATCCTCCAGGGTTAGGGTGAACAACGGGGAATTCATGTGTTCTCCGCGCATCAGAAGGCTGACATCCACGTCCTCCATGGTTCCCTCAATGCTTCCGGCGATTCTTGCGATCGTTGCGTAGTCGCTGCTGAGGTTCAAATTTCTCCAAGGACCCAGAGTCATGTTGGCTACGATTTTCTGAGAGCCGTCGGCTGGAAGGGAAGCTCGACTCAAGGGTTGATTCCAGGAGGAGATTGAACCATAGGAACCCGATTCCAGCGAAGAAAGCGTGCCCTTGCGAGAAGAATATAGAACCAAGTTCCATGGACGGCGGGGAATGTATCAGCTTGAAATTCGAGAACTCAATGATTTGCGCCTGCGCTAGTCTCGCCATGTCTGAGTTCGCGACGGAAAACTCTTACGTCTGATCAGAACGTTGCCATCTCGTCTGATCCCCGGAAGAAGTCCTCGGATGGTCAACTGTGACAAAGTCAAGTAAGAACTCGTATTCATCGTCCCGTTCATGACGTACTGCGGCTCGACCCCGTCCTTGAACCAGGCCGAAGACATGAACCTGCAAGAAGCCGGCGGTATATAAGAGGCTATTCTCTACGCATGGGTCGACCCGTAAGGATAAAATGCCTGAGCTAGCACCTCTCGATTTTCCTGTCAGCGAACGCGTTCACAGCCGGATCGCTTCTGAAGCTGAGTTCAGCGTCTCTCCATTCAGTTCGCAAAGCTGCCATTCCATATACGGTCAGGATCGAGCATCCTATATCGGAGAGAAAATAGGAACATGCCTCAGCGATTGAGATGAGCGCACACTGAGACTTTGTCACGTCTTTATCGTTTCGGTAAACTGTTGTGGCTAGGTCGAGATGAGCACGCTATGAGAATGCGGTTGTACGCATCAGCCCCGGTTTCGGAGCGCCCAGGAACTCGACTCCAAGGAAAGAGGAGCTGATTCGATATTTTCGCAGCGACGTGGGAACAATGCGAAGAGACTTCGTCTATTCCGGGTCTTCACGAGATGGGACTCGCCATGAAGCTGACAACAGTGTCGGTCTCCAATCCACAGCACGCTAATCGTGCTCGTCCTCGAACGAAATGGAGGAGTGATTTTCCAAGAAGTAATTTATCCGCGTCACGTATTTCGAAAATCACAAGCTTCATCCGAAAAACATGTTCACAGGAGGGAGCGAGAGCAAGTCGTTCCAAATATTAGGAAAGAACCTTGTTCCCGTGTTCGAAAGCACCAAAGAAGGTAGCCGCTCAAGGGACGAGTATCGCAGACTCGCCGGTTTTCTCGGCCGTTTCTCTGATTCCCCGTCTCCTGTCCAAATCGCGTGGAGGCCTGGGCAAAAGAAGTGTGCGATATCTCTTCATCCGCTCCGAGGCGAGCACCATACACGTGGGATCGAGCAGAGAGCAGAGAGCCATGGGACACTTCACCGATATTTTTTAACTTCACTCGTACCTGGGGGCGATGCACTCAACCAAGATTCCGTCAGCTCTTCTCTAGCTGGGAGCTATGCTGTCGTGCTAACTTTCGCATACCCGCCCGAAAATGTGCTCACCGATTGCCATGAGTCCACGAACACACATGTTTGTTTGAGCCATTATGCTGCCAGTGACGATTTAACGGTAATCTATCCACTTCCTATATATATATCAAACGTCCACGACCTTGTCAGGTCGACCTGGACACTTTCTGGGCTCAGTGGTCCGTGACAATTAGGATCATGAAAGTCCCGACAAGGTTCATCATAGTCTCGACCAGAACTTCAAATCAGGTGACTGCTTCGATTTAATAATAAGAAGCTCATACAGTCAGGATATTCACATATATGGAATGCCATTACGCTCCCTAACGCGCCGAGAATATTCGCCTCCATCCCATCCGGATGCCCTTATTGCAATTAGGCGAGATAATCGCGGCATTTCGACAGCTGTCAACTATCTACAATCCTTAATGGATTTCCCGCAACCCAGCCAGACGTCATGTGCGGAGTGCACACGTCGACGCGAGAGTCTTGAACCTCTTAAACTAGCTCCTAATCACCTTTGGGGATAAGTTGCTGTCCGGCGAGGGACTTCTGACGTGGCGTGGACAATGTTCCCCAAATAGATTCTGAAGCTAAGACGCTGTCAAGTAGAAAGTTGATGGAGATCATCGCGTCTGACAAATTGAGGCTCCATGCGGCTCGAAAGATGCTTTTGGTATTTTCTCGGCGATGGGGTGGCTTTAGACACCTCACGAGCTCCTACGAGGTAGGATGAATAACCGTGTTGTCGTTCCGATGGAGGTGAGGTATTCAACAGTTTCTCTTCGATGATCTCGTTTCGGAATCATTTGACGCAGCCCGATAAAATACAGCAGTTTCCCCGCCGTGCCAGACGTGCAGCCCACGTTACGGCTCTGATCTTATATGAGGCTGTTCTCCCCACCAGACTTCAGACTTCGATGAATACAAGCGGCGAGCGTCCATGGAACGCAAGCGAGTCTATCTGCCGGGCCTGGATTTCCTTTTCGGCATGCTGTACCTCGCATCCGTCGGTTTTTTGGTGCGAAACCGTGAAGGGGCCTTCCGAAGACCAAAATTGTAAGTTTCGAATCTTCTCTCCTTCTGTAAATCGTCGAGTTGTAAAATAACCCTCCGGATCGGCGTCCTCTCCCATCAGCTATTGGTTGTACTCGCTGTTCTCGATCGTGCACACCGTGCTCGCCTTCTACGGGATGTATCACTTTGCAACACAACTGCAAGAGGTAAGTTTGACGTTCAATCAAAGGATTCTGCCGAAGACGAGCGAATCAACTCATGCAAACTTATCGTGCGTCCGTAACGAGCAGAGCAACGCGAAGGATCGCCACACGACCGATTCGGTAGCATTGCAGCTCATCTTTGCGTGCATTTTCTTCCAATTCGCAAACGCTGTGCTCTCCAAGCTCGTGAGTTGCATCACGAACGAGTCACGGAGGAAGTATTACACGGAAATGGAGTCCGCCTACGACGACATTTGTGGAGGTACAGTATCTCGAGCAATAAGCGGTTACGATCCGCGGAAGCCGCCCGGTGCGAGGAGGCTGTCGCGAAACTCTGAATCTCAATCGAAAATCGTCTTTCCTGGCCGTCTCTGTTCGCTTCCTCTCCTCTCAGGACAAGGACAATGGGGCGGATGATCTAACGCATGATTATGTTCGTAGATAATCCCCGAGCGAAAGTCTTCATCTGGACGCACATGACGATCGCCATGTTGCTCCATTGCGCCGTATTCGCCGTATCGCTATCGTTCACCACGATGGCTGAGTTCCGGAAACTGTACGGGCCGCTGAAAACCTGGCTCCCTGTTGCTTCTGAAATCGTCTTCGCCTTCATGATATACTCGGCATTCAGCATGAGCACCGTAGCGAACGCCACCTCTCTAGTTCTGGTGCAGTCTGCCTGCACTCTGACAGAGATGAACCGGAGCCTGAATTTGAAACTGAAAACGGTGAGATGAGAGTTCTCGGAATATATCGGAGCAAGGTGGACAGGGTCGAGTGCGCTAGCGCAATCAGGTCATACGTCTCGAATCATCGGATTTCCAACTTCAGGTGACCTCCGCGCCGCATACGCGCTGGTGGCTGACGAAAGACGCCGATTTGCTCCTGGAGCGCTACCGTCGTTTATTCCGACTCTACGGCGACTTCAAACAGCTTCTGAGCTTTCGGGTCTTCAGTCAGTTCTCGGTCACCACTCTTAATCTCGTCATAACCGCCTACATTCATTATATGGACGAAGGCAACATATCTCAGACGAAGATTCACACGATCAGTGCCAACGTACTTTTCTTTGCTCTCTTGTTCTGGTCAGCCTACGAGATCCACAGGATGAAAACGAAGGTTCGTTTATACGCCACGGATCTCAATCAGTGTTCCAATAATTCTCAGACGAGGGCAGAGGCATTCAGAGTGAGTCTCCTCGCACTTCCAGGCAGAAGTACCGGTGCAACTGCTGAGTTCATCGAAATTCCTTCCGAGTGACGGACAGAAGACCGAGGAGGTTCGTATTCCCCCAGAGTTCCGTCTCATGGTCCATGAGTCTCGAACGCTGATCGTGATTGTACCCATTCTCCTCTTCAGATTCGTATGTTCATCATCATGTGGCAGTCACAAGACGTGAGAGTTTCTGGCTCAGGATTCTTCACGGTCGACCTCTCTCTCATCGTCTCGGTAGGTCACAGGAGTTCCCGGGATTGAGTGGCAACTGGCAATTATGACACGTCCACAATCGTGACAAGACTCGAGTGACGGGGATCTTCCTTCTTCCAGATCATCAGCACAGTGGTGACTTACACCGTAATTCTTGTCCAAGTAAAGTCCTTCCGACCGTGTCTCTCGGACTGTTTTTGCAAAAACAACTTCACGAAGCTCTGCTAAATGTTCAGCGTAAGGCTCGAATAAATTTCCTCTGGGGAGACCGTTGAGAGATCTCGCGTCCATGAAACCTGTCCAAAATTATTTTCTCCGCCATCAAAATCGGTCATAGGACAGCGCTCACGATGGAAAACTTTTTCTAGAAAAAACAAAGGCAAACTCTGATTCATTTCTTCCAACATCCCCTTTATGAGACGAGAACGTTCACTATATGTACAAGCGTCTCGATCCCCTTGGAACAGGGACATCAGTTCATTTGGGGTTTACATGCGCAGCCCGGGCAGAGATGGAGGGTTGCGTGGATGAATATATCGCAGTCTAAACAGAATTCTTCCTTGCATTTCTCACAAGTGTACATGTTCTGACCCTCAACGGAGCTCTGGCAGGAGAAACAAGTCCTGTAAACAAGGTGAAAAACATTTTTTGGAGTGCTCTTCATAAGCGACGAACGGATTAACGATGAGAGAATCTTCTGTTCGAAGTTCGCGAACTCCCGACCAGCAGGTCGGAACGAATGTCTCACCGGGTGTCGCCTTTGAGGAGATGCGTCTCTTTGAAGTTGTCCAGTGGAAAGAGATGATGATAACTGCGGGCCAGATGCGGGGCCGAAACCAGAGTTAGACCACAGATTCTACACTCAGCGGGTAGTTCGCAGTACTTAGATTTGCACTGAGGACAAAGGAAGCCTCCAGTCGTGATGTGCACACTTTCTGTTGCGGCTGCTTCCAGATGGCTAGATGAGGAAAATTGATTTCCGTACGCGCCTTCAGAGTTCCCACCATATATCGATAGAGCGATTCATCGATCTACCGTGATCGTCGAGCAACATTGGGAGTTAAAAGCAACATTAGGCAGTCCTTGATCTTCGCTCAATCTTACCACTGACACAGAGCCGGTGTGTCTTCCTGCTCGTTTTTGTGGAACGGGAATCCCATTTTGACCATAGAGCATTCTATATTGTTCAAGGCTGGCGGGGGCAGAAGATGATTCGCCAACAATTCTCGAAGATGGTCCTCGTCTACGACGATGTGGTAGCTTCCTCCTGAGAATCGACGAAACTCCTTTATGCGATTCGAGGAAGAAGCTCTGTCGAGTTGAATGACCAGGTAGCTCCGATGGGTTTTCCTAAATTATATCCTCTTGTAAGCAGGCTCTGTCCGACCATGCGGAAGCGATAGGTACCAGTGATTTCCGTTAGTCGGCGGCACACGTAAACTTCGGCGGCGAGCCCGATAACCGAACACCGCAAGCCGAGTTTTTTCGCCTCTTCAATCGTTTCGTTGATGTCCGTTGGATCACAGGTGGTCAAACTTCCCAAGATGATGACCACCTCCCGGCTGCTGTGCGCCGGCATGTGTCTGAAAATATGAGCCGGGGGAATAAGAGTACTTCCGATCTGGTATTCAGCTGGAATAATTCCAATCCATGTACGGTCCGATCCTCAGTGTCCTCAATCAGCGTGACGATGGACAGTTGAACTCACTGAAGAACAGCGGCGGCCATATTTATGCTGTTTTGGAGGCTAGGTTCCCCAGTCGGCAGCCGGTCCTTGATTTTCGCCAAGCCTTCTTTGTGCTTCAAAGGGTTTCCGCTCAGATCGGATATCTGATTGAGAGAGAATTCCTTCAGTACAATGACATCACCATTCGGGAAAAGGATCGACATTGTCCGATTGCTCCAGAATACGGGAGATTCCCGATAGCTGTGTATTCCCTTTTACCTTCTCGGCTCGTTTATTACAAGTTGCAATGATTGCCAATTGAGAAATAGGATTCTCGTCGTAGAAACGGTCCACGAAGTCGTCTAATAAGTGCAGGACGCATTGAATACGAGAGGGTCGCAGATCGTTGCTGTTCATCGAAGCGGAGAGGTCGAGCACCACATAGAGATGTCGCATCTAAGAATAACCAGATACTAACATTGAATGCATCGGGGCGTACAACTTCAGTATACGTCGAAGCCTCCGGAGATGCTCTCGGATGTAGAGCTGGGTCAGCGCAGCATTTCTGCTGTCGCATCACTCACCATACCAAGGCGGACATTTTTCTGCAATAATAACTGTTGCCTGCGTGTTTTGTGAACGATTTCCTGAACACTCGCTTGAAGGTTCCCGCTCTCATCCTCCCGGATAGCTTCCCTGGAAAGGAGAATCCTTCTTCAGCACCAAGCTGACAATTCCCTGATAGGGTATCAGCCCAAAGAACTTTGTGAAAGGAGAGTAGATATTCACCAGGTACGCTCGTATTCCGATTCCCAGCGATAACCGTCCTGTTGTTCGTCCTCGTCCGCCATGGCGCTTGATCAATCGGATTAGTCTCGACGGTTTCAGTGCGACAATTCCACGCTCAGAGAACCGAAACCTGTGGAGCGAGAAAAAGTTCACAGTGGTCGGTCGGAGCACACCATGACACTTCCACTCATGACTCCAGGACCTCCCCGATGGGGTCTTCCGACGGACTCGACGATACCGACGCTGTCGAGATATCTATGCGGCGTTTCGCTGTTTTAGAGGCGCCAATATCGAGAGATTCACAGGTGGGAGTCGGAAACCGGCTCGGAACATTATTCTGAGAGTCTCCCATCTGCCAATTCCACGTTGGATGCCGAGTGCTCTATGTTAGCCGGGCGTGGAAGGACAGGAGCTCCCCAGCATCGTTTGCGCGATTGTCAAGTGTCGTTCGAGAATATCCCGCAAAAGCATGGAACTTTACCCGAGTGAGCGGTTCCGTTCGAAAACTTACAGAAGTGGATGGGGAATGGGGAGCACTCGCCGCTCGCCGGTCTGTTATGTAAACATTGCCCCTCTCCAAGCCCGATCCCAGCTGATGCATGCCGCGTCTTTCGAAATATCACAGAGAGGTTCGCGCGCCGACTCCCATGGGACTCGTTCCGAGTTGACTTTTTTCTCTCGATGAAGGCGGCTGATGGGCAGAACGCGGCCTGAATGATGAATTCCGCATCCCGTCTCGTATATGTCGAATCGGGAGTCTGCACTAAAGCAAATCCGATCGCGGAACACTGGAGGCGAGATAATCTATGAGTCAAGCAGAAATTTTGGAAATCTGGAGCAAAAATCCCGTTCTACACGAACGCCGCGACCAACGACCGCGAGGATGGAGTATGGATTTTCATTCTGGACCTCTCATGGTGAGAGGGGACAGGTCAGAAAAATACGTTGAATCCTCAGGGAGTCGGATCTCACGCTTTGAAGATTGATTCGTGCGGATGGCTCTCGCTCCGACATCCCAGAGTTTTGTGGTGGACAAAAGTTCGACATTCGTGGGACCCCGCATTTTCGGGTCAGCCCATATGAACCGCGACCTCTCGATTTACCCCTTCAAAGTTTCGCCACGTGAGATCAACGTGACCTACATAATTATCGACGATGGAGAATACGAGTGGCGACAGATTCGTCATGATTTTATTCCTCATTCTATTCCCTCATGTACCTCGATGTTTTCGCGCGTCGGGAAGTGTCGAAGCGCTGTCGCCTAGAGGTAGGAGGAGGTATCCATAAGATTGAGTCTTCCGCGCCACAGGAGCCCATTCTGCGAATTGAACTCGGAAGTAAGAACTCTGATCACCCAGGATTCATGATGGCGTGTAGGGGCGAGGCGACATCAGAGAACGAATGAGCCAGTCAGACGAACTCCCTCCTGAGAGTCGACGCTCACCTATCGCAGTCTACCGGATCGAAGTTCCTGTTAAAGCAAAATGCCATCCCGGCAAGGGTTGGTGCCGACCTCCTCTCGAACACACAGTGGAGCATGGGTTTCGGCAAATTCCGTTGCCTCAAATAGTCAAGGATGTGCGCCGAAGGTACATTCCTGATCCGGCGGTTGGTATTAAACCATTCAGCCATCCGATCTGCGGAGATGGAGCTCGTCGGAAAGTCGGCACGCAGAGAGACCAACGATCATCGTCAACACAGAATAAGAATCGGGTAAGCGTTAACGTAATTAGTTCCTCGCTTGACGAAAAAAGGTGCACCTTCTAATCCTATCTTGCTTGCGAGAAGCTCCGATTTCTCAAGGTATCCCAGGAAACCCCTTATTTCGGAGCTGGAATCATCAATTTTCAAACTGGTATTTTCCTGGAGACATATCGTTCCCGGTCGTTTGCGATTTTAGGAGGGACCTACTATTGTTGGATCATTTTCCTTTCCATCACATAAGACCTAATCAGGAGCGAATCGAAATCCTCCACGATCGTTGCGAAGAAAGGAAAAAGACGCTCTTTCAGAGCCAAGTATCTCTCAGTGCCGACGTCTGAAACCCAGCAATACATAAACGGGTCACCGCGCTTGAAATGATGCGCGGGCGGTCACCGGATAAGCTTTTCGAAGTCCCGACTCACAATCTGTTCGCAAATCCTCCGGGCTCATATCGCAGTCTTCATCAGGGGGCCGAGTCTCGTCATATTCCAGGTCGAGAACGTAGAGGAAATCGATCGAAAAACTGGAATGGGAACACTTCCCTGAGCTTCTTCTCGCCATCGGCTCTTATCAGCGTACCTGAAGTCGGAAGTCGGGAGTATCGATGTTCATTCGAGATTTCCGGTCGACACACCTGATATTACTCGTTCGTGGCAAGACTGGGAAAATTCCACTATAGTGTTCGTAAGCGGGGCGATAGTCATATCTGTAGGAGAAGACAGGCCTGGAACGGGATAAGAGATTCTAGGTCGGATGATGAGCGCTCCGGAAAGACGTTTCCAATGCCGAAGCTCCGCTCACTCGACCGGAATGAGGAACGTCAGCACCTAAGCCATCGTGGCGCTCACCTTTGTTCTTCGTATTCCTTCATCCGCGGCGAAACCAAGTAAAGTCCGTCGGAATTGGTTTCGAAATAGGGTTGACCGTTCACCTGGCTATCGAAGGACCGTAACCGGTCTGGGATGGGTCTCGGTGCTTCTCCCGGAGTCGGGTCGATTCTTGTCTTCAAGAAGTCGAGGAGGGAGCTGTCCGCAGTCAGCCACTCTTCCTCTAGCTGTACCATCCGGAGTTTGTCGTGCGAGCGAAGTTGCTTGATTCGACCGATCGTCAGCGGCATGACTGCGTGGTCTTGAGGCGTGAAGACCTTGCAGACCTTGGAATGAAACAGGACTGAGTTCGCGAACTTCACGATATCCCTCACGGTGAGGAATCGACGGGGTGCTCGAACACTCGTCTCAGGGTAGGTCAGGTTGACCCCAAACGCTTTGACTAGCGCCGCGTCCTCCCAGTGCCGCATTTCTGCAATACTGATCTCATATCCGATCCCGTGAGAGGTTCGGACTCTATGGAAGGTGGGTGATGATTCCTCGATGTCGAAACGCCCGTGCTCATCTACTAGGATGCCTCTATGATGAATTAAAGTGGATATTCGTTGTGTCTTGAGGACGAAATCTAAGTTCAGGCGAAATTGGCGGTCTGGAGAGAGGACGACAGTGAAGCGGCCCAGCCAACGTGCTATGCGAGTCTCGAGCTCTTCCAACGTCATGCTCCATTCCACGTCCATTAGCCATACTCTGAACTTCGTTCGTGGACCACATTCTGCCAAGAGCTGATCGAGGCGAACTCGGGCTCTACGCGCGTCTGGTCTCACGAAATGGAACGTCGGGTTCCTCCTCTGACCCTGTGGGGGCTCCGTGTTAACGGCACCACCTCGGATTACGTTCATCGTGTTCGGAATCGCTGGAGCATCCGAACACAAATAGATTGCCCCGAGCACAGCAGCGTATCCCAGTAATCTCAGCGCCCGCGCATTTGAAGCTCCGCGTCCCCGCAAATTGAGTTGGCCAAGCTCCAGGATAAGCTTTGCCAGAATAGTCCCGTATAGAACACGAATCATCATGGATTCAAGTTCCATGGTACATCCGGCTGGGATATCGTTCCCAATTATCTCCGTCCGAGAGGACCGGGAGGCAAATCGTTGTCTAAGCTCAAAAATGGGTTCTACCGTTCTACCCACAAAGACTCTCCCGGTGAGCTCAATTTCATTCATCTTTCGATCAAGTGAGAACCTCAACACTCCGATACCGATGAGTTCTTGCAGATGCCTATCTTGTCCGCGATTAGGGGCTGATGGGGGCATATTCGGGAGTGGAACTCTTCCTTGAGAGACCACGCGCGACATTCTAATAATAAAGAAAATAAATAATGTGATGTAATGACGAAGAATCTGTACTAATCGTTATAGGTTCCAGAAACCCCTCCAGTATGGCGAAGCAGTTGACCGAGTATCGCAAAGTGGATGATTCATGCTCAGGAGCGAGAGGTCTCGAATCAACGGATGTAGCTCCTTCCGACACGCAATAGTTTCTCCGAAAAGTTCGAGACAAACTAGAGCTCGGCCGAAATCAGTCATTCTGGTCACTCGCACTAGAACTCCGCGTACCAGAATTTCTTGCCCCGAAATTCCGGCGTCATGCCGGGCTTTGCATGACTCATCGCGAGGCAGGAAGAAAATCATGGAGCACTATTTTTCGCCATTCATCGCATCATTCCAGTCGGTTATGTTCAGAAATGCGATAGAAACTGCGACGAGTCGCGATTTCTGCGGCAAATTACCGCGACAAATCCGCAGCTCGTGGACTTTCGGGCCACGAGAAACGCTGAGCGCGCTCTGCGTCTCTTGGCGGGCGCTCGCCCTCTTGCGGACTGAGGGATGAAGAAATGAGTTATAGTTTTCCTGTCCCCCGTCGGCAACTGCTTCCTGTACTTTCAATAAGATGGGAAAATGTATAACAGCTCGGAAACTTGCAAGTCATTCCGGGGAACAATCTTCGCTGTGCTGGATCCTTCGATGGAGATACGCATTTCATTCCCGACGGGCTGATCTAGTATATAAGGGAGGCCGCACAGAGGGAAGCATCAATCGTGGACACGGCCCCGCTAGTGTGCAAGCTCCTGACGTCAGATTCGTGCAACTCAACACTCATCATGCTCTTCGAAGCCATGCATCCCCTCGTTCAAGGGATCGACCAGGAACAACTTCGCGACGTCTTTGAGAGAACCGCCGACTTCTTCAAAAAAATCCAAGAGGACGGGCTCGACCGCGACATTCTCCACGGCACGCAGGACATTCCTGACTCGCTCAGGAACAGGCTCATCGCGGAACTTTTCGGCTTCCCGGTGGGTACGTGTGCCGGGAAAGATTTGCCATCCGGAGACAAGGCTGCTAACAAGGGGAAATCAACTGAGAAGCAGGAGGAGCAGCCGAAACCGGAGAATCTCTATCCGACCGCGAACCTGAGGGGCTTCGAGGATGAACTTGTCAAGCAGCAGAGCGGCTCGTCAAAAGAGACCTTAGAGGACGTCAGAGCGAGGGTTTTCGGCAAGAAGAAGAGACATGCCGCGCCCGATGCCGGAATAGAGAGCGAGAAGTCTGCCGAGATCGGGAAAGGGACATCACCGCCGAATTCGAGTGACGCGAAGCAATCTGGCGGACAGATCTCGGTGTCTGGGAAGGGATCTGATCCGACTTCAGAGGCCCGCGAAATTTCAGCTCCAACCTCCTCCTCGGACGACGAGGGCTACGAGTGGAAGTTCCCCGTCGAGAGCTGGTGCGATCCGAAAGACTCTGCAGTGACCGTGACGGATTCCATCTTGAGACTCAACATCTGCAAGAAGGTAGCGAACTCCGAGAAGAGCATCACAACCCTCAAGTCTCTGGACTTCTGCGTCGAGCTCCCGGACGATGTCGTCAGCGAGGAAGTGTCCGCTAATTTCATTGAGGACAAATCCGAATTCGTTTTGAGAGCGCCGAAGAGGAGGCCCCGGGAGGAGAGCACCGGGCGCGTTCTGCGCATCAACTTCATTCGATCTTGAAGAATTAAACTCAGTACTTTTCTTGCACTTAAAAATTATCCATTCGTGATGCTAGACCAGATGCAGGCAGCGGAATTATAGGTATGTTGGAAGCACGGGCGCGGGAACCCATCGAGTAAACATTCATTTTGGTGCGGAGATTGCTTGTTCATGGAATAATAGTCTTCAAAAATAAAATAAACAACTTGACCGAAGGACTCATCATTCTCGCTGCTTTCGTCACACAGTGTGACGGGAAAAAAATGCTACCTGACTCGCTGAACCAGGTGAGCCCTGGGCTCTGAGGCGAAGTCCGCCACTCGCAGCCCTGGAGAGAGTCTCGCCGCACCGATTCCTGATCCTGATACAATGAAAACCAGGCTCTATGGTCGAAAGATCTATCAACAGGAGATGATTCCGACATTCGGCCAACGCTGATAATTTGGCTCGGTGAATAAATGTTCGTTCCCTCAGCTGTCGCCCGAAAGGGATAATTGGGATTCCGACGTCAATTCCTTCTCGATAGGAGTTCTTTAACAGTGGCGTAGCGAGCCGGAGTGCCGCTCGGGGCGGTGATTCGAAATTTCCCGTTTTTTCACCGTGCTCGACGAAAATGCCGCCCCCCGCCAGCTATTTTTCCTCGAAAACACTCCGTTTTTTTGATGCAAAACCCCGAAATGCCGCCCCTAAATGCCCCGTAGGAAGTGCCGCCCGGGGCGGTCCGCCCCCCCCGCCCCCCCTTACTACGCGACTGTTCTTGAACAAGAATTTCTTCCGCTCTCGGAATCCGTTCGGGAAATACCCGATCGGGCGAGATCTCCGTGAGCCTCACTCATCAGTTCCGGGACGTGAATCAGCGGCTGGGTGAGTGCCGCAGCGGAGGGCTGCATCACTGACAATGCTGGAAGTAAAGATCAACGTCATCATTGTTTCGATGCTCCCCCCGAGTGAGACATTCGACTTTCTCCTCAGTTGCGGGAGTGCTTGCTGAGAGACTCATCTGCAGGGAAATTTTGTCGGTCTCAGTCGGAACATGTGAGTCAGAATGTCAGATTCAATTTATTCTTATGCCGCAATGTCTTGGCCAGCGCCGACGGCGCGAATCTTTCCGTCATTGCGTTTTTCCTGAGTCAGGAAACTGGCATGAAGTCAGACGCAGGACTCGGGCCTTGGATGCAGCTCCGGAAACTCAGCTCAATAGCTAGAAGATCCCAAGAACTCCAAGCTGCGTTCATAGGCGAAGAGCTCACGAGTCTAAGGACTTCTCCGACTGGGGATTGCTCGAGGCATTCGTCCTTAATCATAGAATATCGCTAAAATATTTCCGTTTTCCGTTTCAGCAGCTCTTCGGGTACTCGGAATGTCGTTCTGTCTCCACCTGCCGTGCAATCGGCCGGAATGGCTCGACTTCACCGAGCGTCGTAATGAGCTCTACGCCGTCATATCTGGAACTTTGGTGAGTCACCCGCGTATTGCAAAAAGAGGAGTCTGGTCTCTGCGGGAGTCTCATATCTCCGACGAGAGACGGATCTAAGGAGTTCGCTCACCACGAGATTTCGTTTCAGTTCGCGATCGGATGGTGGATTATAATTGACTGCTCCGTGCAGCATCCGTCAGACATAAAAGCTTTACATGCGATCGGAGTAATCTCGACGCTGAGTCTCGTGATGGTCAATCTAGTTTCAAACGCTCAAGTGCGCGGTGAGTGCATTGCAGATATTTCTAGACAGATGTAACCACTGTGAATGAGAGGAAGAGGGCTAGGAGAGCCAAGCTTCCCGAACGACCCTAGGACGTGATACATACAACTGGAGACGACACAAGCAACAGCCGCCTCATGGGATCCTTGTCGAACGAATATCACCGAGGACCTCCAATGATCGGAATGCTATAGTTTCGATTGTCAATCATCATATTGATTGTGAATTTCCTCCAGGTGAGAGCTCGTACACGGAAGCGGCATGTGGGCCATCCGGGGCTCGGGCTTGGCTCTTTATCGGCTTCGTCATGGGATTCGGAGCGCTCCTCGGCTCGACGTGGGTTCTAATCCAGAACAGTTTCGAAGCACCGTCAGTTTCGCTATTCCTACAGAACAGCTTTATTTTCGCAAGGTTGGTACTCACAAAAGAAGCCGGTCGATGAGCGAGATGTGGATTCTGGGATTCTTGGGACATCGGGATCGAATATATTCCCGCTGGTCATCGATCTGTTTCGGCTCAATTGACTCCCATCTCTTTTTCTCCCATTCTAGCTCGATGGCGTACAAGTTTGGCCGAAAAGAGTCAGATTCGTGGGGATCGTAATCGAGTGGGAGTACGGATTGATCGCAAACATGGTCTCACCCCGTCTGATGTTGGAGGCAGTATTCTTCTACCCACACCAAATCATCTTTCGCGTAATCGTGGCTCCGGTACCTCCGGTCATACGCGCCGCCATCCTGGCTCGTCGTTGAAGCCTCGAAATGAGCTAGGTCTCGACTCGTTCAAGCATCTTCGATTTTCCGCACGAAGGTCCCACGTAGACAAATACTTAATTCCTCGAGCAGGGAGTCGAGGAACAAGGTCAATCAATTCCAATGATGTAATTTATCCGATGAAAGCAAGTCGCGAGGATTTGTCAGCTCCGCCATCTCAATGAAAGATCGAATAAAAATAGGCTTTTATTCAGACCTCCGCGTATTCAAAGAAAGAGAATTTCTCACAGGCTGCGCTTCCCCATGGAGAGTGAGGATTAGACTTGAATCGGGGTTTTTATTTCACTGGGCTCCGAGGAATCTCCAAGGACGTTTTACGTCGTTGTGAAGGCGCGACAAGCCAAAAGTCGCCTATGCACATCTGTTACGCTCCGCCCTTGCGCTCCATTGTTGGTAAATAAATTAGGACCTGTGCGTTCGGTTGTTCACGATCTCGCCATGTGGCGATGACAGGGGAACATTACGGACGTAATCTCCCAAAGCGTCCGGGAAAAATCAGAGTAGCTTTACGCTCTGCGTAGTCACTCATGAAACTTCGTGGTGTGTCCATGGATCAGCTGACTGGAAGTCTTCCAGCGGCGGCCATGCCGGTGCGCGCCGAGCCCTTGGCTGAGGGTGGAGCTGAATCCATGTGTTCCACCTTGGAAAGTAGGGTGAGTAAAGCATTGGATTCATTTGCTCTCTGCGGGAACTTGGGGAAGCATCCGATGCAGCATCCAGGACAGACGGGAGACCGGCTGGCAACTCGTTCTCTATCCAGAATTCGAGCTCAATATGATATCCGGATACTCTCTCCGCGCCCGCCCGTGCTATTCGTTACATCTTGAACTGATACATCGGAATCGTTATCCGCGACGATTATTTTCCTGGGGCTCTTTCGGGGTCGCCGCGTATAGCTACGGTTCCTGTGGTGTAGTGGTTATCACATCCGCCTAACACGCGGAAGGTCCCAGGTTCGAGCCCTGGCAGGAACAGCATTTTTCCTTTTCGAGCGAACTCGCGCATCGATTCTCGGCTCGATGGCTCTTTATCGAATTCTAGCTCTAAGAAACAGCTTCCGCTACTTCCCGACTCGAAGTCTCTTTCGGAGAAGTTTACGGTGAAAACTATCGATTCTCGCTGATGCTGCCGCGGCAGCGTTCGTCTCGATATGCACTCGATGGGTTTGTGTCACGTCGATCTGTCTCAGAACGACACATTCGGTTCTGGCGTCTCGCTTCTTTTTCGCGCAGTCAGTCGGTCGGTCGGTCAGCAGACTTTTGCCCTGTCTCGACTCTAACTAAAAGTCTCTTCTCGTGTTGCGCATCCTCTCCACCAACGACCTGACAGAGAAAACCAACCACTGTGCCGAGACGATTCTCTCGAGTTCGCTCCCTTGAGTTGGTGTCGCTTTGCAAGAAGCCAGGACAAGCGAAATGCCGAAAGAGCGTTCTCTTCTTTCTCGCTGGCAGTGCACCGTATAATGTGACGTTATCCTTCAGCGTGAGCGCCGTAGAGCACAGCGGCTGCGCGGTGCCCTCACCGACTTCGCGTGGCTGATCTTCGCCGGTCGCTGCCGAAGGAGCACGGCAGAAATTCGAACAACTGTAAACGAAGCACTGCACCGCCGCCATGTGAATCTTGTGGAATAACTCCTCGCTCGAGTGATCGGTCCGATCCGAGTCTAGTCAGAATGTTCGAGCTGGAACTCGGTAAGTTTCTTCGGCATATTGCACTGCGGATGAGTGTTCACAGAGAGGGGAAAAGTTCCACCTCTTGATCGGACTGCGGAACACTGCTCGGTCAGTTCCGTGATCCGTTCGTCGTTCAAGGATGAGCGTTCTTGCCGTGTGTGTGCAAGTGTTGGCTTTAAACAGACAACCAGAAATGTTCAACGGGAAATAATATCGGAGCCGATCATTTCGGTCTCATCAGCTGTTATGGATCCGATAGTCGCCTTACGAACCTTGGTTGCTTCCCTGTCTGTGGCGGTCAGAATTTACTCGCCCAATGCACTTCGTCAGGCTTTGTCTCTCGCTAGCCCGCGAAGCGTGGCTCACATGAATCAGATCTCAGAGCCCACCTCAGAGTTCGCCCGGGTGTGGTCGGTGCTGCAGAGACATCATTCGTTGTTCGAACCATTATGTAAACCTCCCGACCTGCTCAATGACCATAGATGTCACAACTGCGGATTCTAGGGACTGTTTACTATGCAGAACTCCTTATCGGAAATCGCTCTGTCGTCGTGTCTTGAAAGAGAAGCCGCTCGAAGCATATTTCCCTCGTCGACGCTTTCGTGGAGCCGAGCGTTCCTCAGAGCCATTCTCGAATCCTGTCTCTCTGCAGGGAAGAATTGTTTTTATGAATATGAATAAAATAATTGCGTGAGAAAAGCCATTCGGATCCTTCGGTAGGTGCAGGAACTTTGGGGTCCACCTCATGAGTCGCATCGGCGCTCGAGGACCTTGGCGAACAAAGTCCGTCAGACGACTTCGATTTCCCCTCGGGACTGACCGCAAAAATCGATGCTGACCGGGAAAACTACTTGGTACTTTATCCCGCGAAGAAAAATCCCTTTCGTTCCGTGCTGATTTATGCCGTCCGCTGAGGATGATACCATTGGGCAGCTCCCGACAGGCGGAAACAAGCTTGCTTTGACGAAACCTCAAAGCATCATGGAAAATGATCCCGGAAAGTTCCTCTCGCCTCTTGGACACGATGTAGAGCCTCCAATCCAGATTTTGCTGCGGGCAAGATTCCGGCGAGACGATCAGTGGAATTTCCCTCAGTATTTTTTAGCGTGACGTATGTTCTGAGTCAACGGCTTCGATCCGTCAGCGAAATGCGTCAGCTTCCAACGGCTCGAAATTAGTGTTGGTCAAGTTGCCTCTGTGCCCGAGAGTTGCCCGTACTGATCGATGACGCCCGCCGCGGAATCCACGAGGTCACTGAATCGACGCGGACGCTCCGAATGCGACTGTGGCTCCTCGTATCCCAGCCCGGATTCCTTTACCTCGATCATCCGGGTGATTCCGGAGCTCTTGAGAACACTCGTATGCAATCGTCTCTTTCAATGTCCATCTGCCGATTCCGAGATGCAATCAATCACCGCAGAAAACATTTCTTGGAATCAAGCGGCTTCACCAGCATCACCGACTCTGCATAAAGCGGAAAAACTCGTCGAATGAATAGTCCAACTCATGCATCCGAAAGAGTTGGTCGGATCTCCTCCCGGGCCTTATCTCACTCAGCCAAACCCATCCACTAGATTAGATTTCGTTACCGGAAGTCATCAGTCCCCTCATGTCACGTAACCCGCGGTAGGCTCGCTTGAGATCACAAGCAGAGGGTTCTGAGCCTGATTACTCTCGACGAATGGTTTGAGCTGGTAGAGCTGGTGCTCCAATCAAAGCAGAGTCGCTTTGCCGTCGGCGACTTCTGTTGCTGTGAATGCAGTCAGTGCTGAGAATCTCCGCTCGAGAACGCAGATATGAGTTCTTGACGGGGCCACCTGGTGATGAATAAACGTCGAGCTTTCACTATCAGAGTGTCACCATACCAGAGTGAGTATGTCCACTTGATTCCGATTGCGGAGAATTCAGATCCGCTGCGCGCCGGGGGAATCCATTCATAGGGAAAATCAGACTCAGAAGCCTCCGCTCGCCTAGAACTCTCTCATCAGACACTTTAGAGCGAATTGAGCGGTGGACGGCTATTCGAAGAACCGTGGGTTATTCGGAACCTAGCGTCATTTCCAAAGTGCGGTTATTGCGGGATACCGCGAGCACAGGGAGCCCGATTCGGCTCGGGGATGAGTACCGGTGCGCGTGTTATGCATCGAGCACGATTTGGATGATTGTTCCTCCATATCCACGTTTGAGTCAACTCCTCGATGTCAGGCTGTGTTGAATACTCGTTAACGAACGACTTGCATCGCAGGGGACTTCAGACGTCAGATCTCACTCCGGGTGCTTTGATTTGCAGACGAGACTGTTGGTAAGGGCCCTTACGAAGATATTCTGCACGAAACTCTTACCGCTGAATTCGTCTCCGAAAATGACAGGTCCAAACGTCGAGGAAAGAAGGACAAGAAGCCAGGAGTGTGTTATATGTCAGACGGCTTCTCACAGGTACAGAGAACACAGCCCGCCGCGAGTCATGACGAACCATAGTAGATCGAATGAAGAATCCCTGATGCTCCCGAAGAAAGTGAAATATTGTCCGGTTTGCAAATTCATACTCGAACCTTTGATGCAGGTCGACTATGTGCTCGTGTATAATCCGACGAAATCAGATGGTCAGAGGAAGCGTGACATTTTCGAGGAGGAGCTCCTCCGAGCGGGGCTCAAACTCGACTATGTTCAGGCAGTGAGTATTCTACAGTATTTCTATTCCTCCGCATAGACAGCGCCGGATTTGAGTGGCCATTGCTCTTTTTCGCTCGAATGGGACGCCTCTATTCCTAACCCCATCCGATCCTTCATCCAGAACGCAAAGAGAGGCGGGCTCATGTTTATCAAAATAAGCGCACCTTGGGAAGTCCTCAGTACCTATGCAGAAGTTATGCATTTCAAAATGCCGGTCAAAGAGGTGAGTTTCGAGCGTTCACCGGAGAAACCTCATGATTCATGGGGTCCAATTCCCGCACTCATGCCGGTTGTCTATTAATTCATTCAGCTTGCGGTATGTGAACCTTTGAGAATTTACTCGGATTCCTATCCGACGATGTTCTAAAACAAGTGTGTCGAGTGCGTACACATGTTCTCTTCCCGAGCTTGGTCGTACATATGTACTACATACAATTATTGCTTCTGAGACTGAGCGCCGAAGCTTCGGTGCGTCCATCAACACGCATGGTTTTGATTGGTGTGTTTGACGAATTCCCAACCTCATCTATCCAACAGAGCTGCCTCAGGAGGGAGGAATGGCAGGCGATTTATGAAGGAGCCCCCCCAAACAGAGAGGTTTGTGTATTAAATTGGTGCTGGACCGAGAACTGTCGCTTAGCGCAGATTCACGCGAATAACGTGCCGGGGAAACATCAAAGACCAGGGTAGAAAGTTCGCAGCGCCCAACATAATCTATCCACTGAATTTCTGAAACTGACTCTTTGATGTCTCTCGTCGGTAATCGCGATGTCAACTGCGCGAACGGTGATGTCGAATTGCGCTCGCGATTCTAACTCATGATTAACTCTGTTTGCACGCAGCTGGATTCCCAGCCTTTGGTATGTGATGTTTGCGTGCATGAATTCAGTTGTTTCGACAAACATTACGGCTCAGTGAAGTCGAAGAGTGGATTTCGGGGAGCGTTCCGCCCCCCAATTGCTCCGATGCTGACATCCGTTGCGTTTCCAGCTCGCCGGGAACGAAGAAATCGAAAGAGCTCTCGGGAATTCGCGTCTCAGCCTTCAGCCAAGGCCGACGAAAAAGATGATGCATAAGCAGTTCGCTGTGACGTTCTCAAAAACGAAAGAATACCTGTGAGTGAAACAATTTACCTCCTATCGGAGGGATTGGGGTACAGGGAAAAAATTCGCTTGGACCCGGGTGGAGTCGATGGGAGCGCCAGAACCCGATGGCGGAACGAACGCCCTCGAAAATTAAATATGAGCTTATGCTCCCAACAGATTCGACATTCCGGAGATAAAGGAAGACTTCTTCAGTTCAGCACAGCGGTCTCAGATCGTTAACTACATCTTGCAACGGAAAACTTTCTCCAGAACCGAATCCGAAGAGTCGTTCGATTTCGGAGTCGATCGCCTCATACGCGACGGCACGTACATGGCCGCGTATCCCCTCCACGAAGGATCGAATACCGAGGCCGATCACTCGTTGCGACACCTATTACTGACCCAATGGGCTTCACTTTTCTCCACGTTCAAAGAACAACCGCTCGACGACATCCGGCGGTATTTCGGAGTCAAGGTTGGTCTGTACTTTGCCTGGTTGGGCTTCTACACGTACATGCTGGTGCCTGCCTCGATCGTCGGAATCGTCACTTTCATGTACGGACTTCTAACTGTGCACACAAACGACCCAACGTAAGCGCACCAAGAAGAGTATACTGCTGATATTATCAGTGATATTAGAGGATCTTCCGGGTCTCCCGAGATCTCGTCCTGCTCCGAGCCCCTCTGAGCGGCGAGTCGAAAATTCTCCGTCGAGCAAGACCATGATTCGCGAAATGCACAAGAGCTGAAAGAATACGGCCCGAGCTGCACCATTATTCTCATTGTCTCATTCTCGCTTGCAGCCTGGATGTTTGTGAGCGGTTTGAAGGCCTTGTCATGTGCCCGACGTGTGATACTGGCTGTGAATACTGGAACCTGAAAGAAAATTGCAAACACTCGATGTTGACTTACTTGTTCGACAACGCAGCTACAGTGTGCTTCAGCGTTTTCGTCGCGTTGTGGAGCGCAGCGTTTCTCGAATTATGGAAACGGTGAGATTTCCGTTCAACGAGATCAAGTACTGATCCGAATAGGCATCCTCAATTTTCTCTCCTCAGACTTGTTCTTCTATTGCTTCTTGGCTCATCAGATACTGCAGTCGAATAACCTACCAATGGGATCTGACGGGATTCGACACTCTGGAGGAGAACTCTCGACCTGAATACATTGCCGAAATGGCGGTACTCAGACGGAAATATGCGCAAAAAGGTCGGGATACGGACGACTTCCGAAAACCCTCCTATTGGAGGCGTAAACTCCCGTACACGATATTCTCGATCTCGGTGATTCTTCTCGCGATCCTGCTCTGCGTAGCGGCTGCCATAGCGGTGATAATATACAGGTTGGATATGCACTGGAATGACGGATGCCGTGCGCCATCAGATACTTGGAGTTTTCATAGCTCGATTCTATCCATTCACGTCTGGCTCTATTAGATCCCTCTTCGAAGCTGATTGGTTTTTCGGAGGGGCTCATTCGAAGACTCCGTTCCAGGATGGCTTTCCGCACTGTTTTAGCGCTCAAAGGGGGCGACGAAGTGACGTCTTCGGTGATCGTCTCCACGAGCGCCGCTCTCATCAACCTCTTATGCATCGTCCTGTTCAACTCAATCTACTCCCAACTTGCCGTAAAACTCACGGACATGGAGATGCCGCGCACTCAGAGCGAGTACGATGACTCGCTCACGCTCAAGATGTACCTCTTTCAGTTCGTGAACTGCTACGCGTCTATCTTCTATATCGCGGTCTTCAAAGGAAAGTGAGTTCGCGTGGAATGCGAATAAATCGATGACGTTGCAAATTGATATCTCTGCACCTCCCCGATCTCTCTTCCCACGCACTGAGCAAACGGAGACTTGCAGGTTCTCAGGACGTCCCGGGAAATACAATTTCGTATTGGGGACATATCAGCAAGAAGCTTGCGGTACCGGAGGATGTTTCCAAGAACTTTCGATTCAGCTCGCCGTCATCATGGTGGGGAAACAGCTCATTTCGGCTCTCTATGAGTTCCTGTGGCCACTCCTCATGAAATTACTACAATCTCAGAATCAACCAAAGATCGATAATGTGAGGCTCTTGCGATAGAGGATAAATCGCTCCCGAACGTATATTGGGAAGTTTCGGAGGTCCGAGCGCAAGCATCTCGAAAGTTATTTCACTCATTCCAGTCCTCGGAGAATGCCGATATCCGTGAGAAGATGGCCGCTCAAGGTGCGATTGACGACGACGACCGACCTTGGGAACGGGACTACTGTCTCCCGGAACTGGGTCAGTCGGGTCTCTTCTTCGAATACCTCGAAATGATCCTCCAATACGGTTTCGTCACTTTGTTCGTGGCAGCTTTCCCCTTGGCTCCCGTTTTCGCCCTGATCAACAATATTTTTGAAATCCGACTCGACGCGAGGAAACTCCTTCTCCAATTCCGTCGACCTGTAGGTCAGCGGGTGAAGGATATCGGTGAGTGCGACGAAGAAAACGAGCCCCAACGGCTGTTTTCGGTGATATCTACCAAGGTTCGAATGTTCCCCCACAGGAGTTTGGTACAGGATTATGGACGTCCTCGGCAAGTTCTCGGTGTTAAGCAACGCGGGCATAATCGCATTCACTTCCGAGCTCATTCCCCGCTTGTATTATTTGCTCAAATACAATCCGAATAGGGACCTGGTCGGATATGTGAACTTCACGCTCTCGTACTTCGATACGAACCACTATGATAAAAACGTGAACCACAAGTAAGTTTATTCTGAGCGGTGAAAACTTCCATTGCCTCTAATCTCACGTTCCACGTAACCGGGTTCGATTTTAAGGCATCGCGAACGGCTTGGGAACTCAACCTACTGTCGTTACTGGGATTATCGTTCGGCGCCCTGGGAAGACCGAGCCTACAAGAGAACGGTCGTGTACTGGGAGATCTTCGTTTGGCGATTGGTTTTCGTTCTCCTGTTCGAGGTTCGTCGAGGTCGAATTCGCTGTAGATATTCATACAGGATAGTGAAAATGGGACCTGATGGGAGTCAATTTCCCCTTCCAGAACATCATCGTCATATTGACGACACTGATTCGCTGGCTCATCCCAGATACTCCGCGCTCTATTCAAGCGAAAATCCGCGAAGACAACCGTCTCACCAATGAGCTGATAATCCTCCAGGAACTCAAGCGAAGACAGCTTGAGAGAGGCACTCGACGATCCGTATCGTGTAGAGACTTCCCCGACATAGCCGAGACTTCTGCGTTCGGAACGGAGGAATCTTCCACAACCGAGGAAGGCGCGCAACCTTCGCCGCCAAGGGTTTGAGAAACGGGACGGATGAGTCCTCCGGAAAATGAAGAGCTGCCATCGCTATCGCTATTGTTCCTCGGAGAGATCCGCCTTGCGACGCAGTGTTGATGAGGTTGATCGTTGCCAAACTATTGTCGTTGGTGTTTGCCTTCGCGTGAGCGGCGTGGGATGAGATGGAAGAGCCCCGTGCACATTTCCTCCTCTGTCCTCAAAGTCGAGTGGATCCCTTCGAAGATTTCGGGTCCTCGAATCTTCCCGCTGCAGCTCCGCTTGCTCATGCATTTGGGGACCCTCAAACCGGACGCGAGGTACTCCCAGCTTTGGGACGATACCGAAGCGAACTCATCCTCGCGCCCTAACGGCATTTTGTTGCGGATAATCCTTCCCTTCATTAGTCAGAGGAATCTTCGCGTTCTCATGTACATAGACAGCTTCGTGTGATATCGTTGTATGCAAGTAAAACGAGCCTTGATATGGAGCAAATTCGGATCCTCATTGATAGGAAAGTGGGAATCGCTCCCTGGTCACAAGGATTAGTTGGAGAACACTGATCTGGCTCCGATCTCAGTATGACTTGCGGGATCGATCTGGATACAACTATTCCGGCGCTTCCGAGGGCAGAGCAGGATGACGACTACCCTTCCGCGCGGTTCTGAGGAGCTTTATTCAAGCCTGATACAAAACCTTAGCACAACAAGAGAAAGCCGTGTCAATCGCCCTCTCGGGAGAGGATTCACCGTAACACCTATCGCAGCTCGGAAAATTCGTAAAGTTCAGTATCATGAGAGATCCTGACGTCTCCTCTAGATACGGTAACCCGCCATACCATTGAGGTTGCCTTGCTTGGAGACCTTTCAACGCCTGAGGATGCATGCGAATGCGAGAGCGGGCTCCACGGAAATCCATCGATGATGAGCGTGCCCGAGTTTTTCTTCGGTACGCCACCGCTCTCAATGACTCAATTCGTGTACGGAGAATGACGAGAACGGCTGTATCCACTCCTGCAAGCTAGCTGTCAGAACTCATCCGCAGGGCTTTGAACGTCGATACCGAATCATTCAATCGTATGTCTCCGCCGCTGCCGCCGCTGTGACAGGCGTTCGAAATTCGCGCCGCAGCCGGGCAAACAACACCGTACGGCCCCCTCTCACGATTGCCGGAGCGATTCGATCAGCTGACGATCTCACCGAAAAGAACACCAAAGTTTTCATGTTTTGTGAATCAGCTCACATGTGATAGAACGAAAGGAGAGAATCGTGAGTTCCAAATACTATCGTCAATCTTGTCAGCAAGCGTCGACTTTGCTCGCTCGTATCGCAGAATCTTATTCATCCGCACGTGACTAAGGAACTGTGACGCTTCTCTTAAATTGGAATCCGAGCTCTCCGGCTCATTGACGAAGTTCTCTCGTCGGCGGAAAGAGAACGGAAACACCAGAACCTCTTGATCTTCTCGGGAATACTGCTGCGTATGATCGCCAATAGCCTGCGGGCGACGAGTTTCGAACAGAATTGGGGGAGGAGTATCGTCGAATGATTCACAACGAAGCGATTCCTATCGTCGAATGTTGGTACAGCACTACGGATTTGATATATCCGCGGAATTTTCTCATTTTCAGATGGTGTCGAGTCACGAGAGCTCTGAAGAGGATGACGAACGAGCACTCCATTACGAGAGGCTCCCATATGACGCTCAGATCGTACTCGATACAGAAGTGGGGTCCTGCATTGCTGTCCACGACAAAGTGTGTATTTCTATCCTCGCTTTCTCCTGCGTCGATATCTAAGCATCGATCCCCAGACACTCGAGACGACTCGAATTGCCTGAACCCTTCATCCGATTGCAAACCGATGCCCTATGCTTCCAGTTCATCCTTGTTGGCACCCTGACGGGGTCGATCCACATACTCGACCACCAAGGCAACAAAACCAAAACCCTAACGAGTCACGAGACGCCAGTGTGCCATATATCTGTCGACGCTAAAGGGGAATACATGGCATCCTGCTCCGAGAACGGTTCAGTTTTCGTTCACGGAACCGCTTCTCAAGACAACAATATCGCGTTCTCTTTCGAAGAGCTCGTTCATTTCTGCTGTTTAAACCCACGTTTCGCGACCGACAGTAAACGTTCTTTCATAATCGGCACAGACAAGGTAGGAGAAAAAAATATATGATTATGAAGATATTCGAGCCCATCCGAATTCCAGCTCGCTTTCAATGGTAGTGAATCAAACCCCGTTTCAGCTAATGTATTATCAGAAGAACTTCTTCAACAAGTATCGGATGTCGGTGATTTTTAGAGGTGAAGGGCCCATCAGGACTTGCTCGTGGCAGAACCGTTTCGCTGCCTTCGCGACGGACTTATCGGTTCGTCGCTGAATCCATAATTGTATCCTGGTTCATAGAGAACTCATCGGCTCATTCCATGGTGTGTCTCCGAAACCCTTCTGGGCGTAGAAAAGCTGACCTCGCCGAACGTTCCTAGGTGATCGTGTTCGACATGTCGATGTGTGCCGTACTTTGCAAGTTCAGGAGGGACCAGGACCCATCTCTCGCACCTGAGCTCTACCCGTGTCATATGGCCTGGATGACTGATCGTCAGTTACTGGTTGGTTGGGCCGACAGGATCAACATGTGCAATATCAAAGAAAAGGTTCGCATCTGAAAGAGCTTCGGAGCTTCACCGTATTCCCGAACGCATCGCGATGTAACAGGCGGTCAACTTTGTGAGAAAAAAAATACCTGTAGAACAAATCCGATGTCTCCCAACCGAAGTCCGCTCCCTCAACAGGATGACGAGATGCGTCGGACACACTCTTCACCGACGAGCTTCTACCTGGAGATCTCTTCGATCTTCACAACCGACGATATCTATGTCTGTGGCCTCGCCCCGTGTGGCTCAAACATTGCCATACTCGGCACAGAAAAAATGGATGGGAGAGACAATACATCGCACATGCTGTTCCAATTGTTGGAGCCTCACAACAAATATTGCACTCAGGTGATCCCATGTTCAAGTGGAAGAATTATTTCACGCAATCGCAGCATCGAATCATCGCGTATCAGTCATACTCCGATGAGAGGCCCCCTGATAGTCGAATCTGACCCGATTTCTCTGTCTTAAAGCTATCTTCGGATCGGATACCTCTGAAGATGACATCGAAATTGAGAACGGATTTCTCCCTGAGCTGTTTGACGTCAGAACAGAGGTGAGCAAAGTCTTCCTGCAACGAGGAAGCCTTCCTGTGCGAGGCCTTGGAAAGGTTCCGCGTGTGAGAATCGGTCCTCTGATTGGCTCCACGGAATCGAAATATGGAGCGAACCCATGTGGAACCTCAATCAGGCTCTCCATCGTTGCCCGAGCGTACCAGGCGGACAGCGGCTCCAGCCGTATGGTACTTCCTCCATGAAGCTCAGAGAAATTTAATAGACTGGAGATTGATTCATTGGATACCTGCGCGGGCAGGATCCTCGCCTCCCGTCCCGATTCTTCCTCATCCGGGTCGCGGAAAGGGGAAGTTCTACGCATCGAATCTATGCGCGACCCCTTCTCACCTCGAGTGGGAACTTCAATCGTGAATGAGAGAGGAAGGCGAGCAGCATGGGAAAGAAGCCTAGGGAACGCGGTTACACCATATCCTCCGGGATACCCGGTGCTTCCCTCCCTGATCCCAGAGGCCACACTATTTTTCTAAACCCCGCTAAACGACTCGAATGCATGTACAGGTGGTTCATCCTCAGCCCCTCGGAGCTCGTCGTGGCGAGGCCGGCTGATAGAGACGACCACATCGACCGACTCATAGGAAACGAGGTCAGTTCTTTCGCCTTGTCCGGCAGGAATCTTTCTCGTGAGATCTATGGTGCTCCGACGCGATTCGTTGTGATTTGCCCCCTCATCCACACAGATGTATGAAGAGGCCATGCAGGTCATGGTCAACTGTAGCTCCGAGATCAAGCGACATAGTCTCCTGGTCGTTGGGAAATACTACCTCAATCATTTGCTTGACACAGAGAAATACGACCAGGTGGGTTCCACTCACGATCCTGCGAGGTCGCTACTCTTAGGGGGTAGGTACCTATATCGAAATCATGAAGGACTCCAACATTCCTCTCCGCGTCACCTCAGGTTGGGCCCCTCTGCCAGAAGATCTTCGGATCACAATCAGCTTTATGGGAGGAATTGATCTTCAACTTGGCCACACGGAAGAAATGTCACATCATCGTCAACTATATCCCTCGTGAGTTCCATAACGCCATGTCGTACCTCCTGTCTCGACGCGTACCGCGAAGCTTCTCCCGATCCGAAGCGTCTCCGGAGACGAAAACTTTTTCCAGAGCGAAAGGACAAGAAGCTGAATCTTCAAAGCTATGAAATCATGCTGAACGAGTACATCCAGATCCTACCCGCGCAACTTCCTGCGATGGTCAAGCGATGGAAAGGACTCTACGATCCTCGAATCGTTCATGGAGCGATTGAGGAGCGTCTGAAGTACGCACCTGATGAGAGATTGGAGGAAGCCGTGGGTGGGTTTAGCAGTCGAGTAGTTTGGGAGCATGACACCGCTAATTGTCACAGGGTAGACCTCGATACGACATATCCTTCCCCCACAGGATTGCTCTTGATGTATCAAGAGCGATACGCCGAAGCTCTGAATATTTTCATCTCCATCCGAGCGGCTAAATGGGTGCACGAGCTTCTTCGCGATCACTTCGATATTCTCAAAGACGACATTTTCAAACGGATACTGGAGCTTATGGATATCGATTACAAGGAAGCTTCGAATTTCTTCGCGAAGCACGACTATTACGATGTGAAGGAGGTAAGTTCTCTTCACTTTCATTCACAGTCTGCCGCATATTCCCCATTCGATTGGATTCCCTTTGAAGGCATCCCCCTAAACCAATCTCTAGGTGAGCCGGCGATTGAATGACCGTAGGGAATATCTTCTCGAATACTTACGCTGCAAGTTCGCGAGAAAGCCGCGGGCCCTCGACGAAGGCGACCACGGACAACTTGTGGAATACTTCGCAAGGCACGACCCGGACTCTCTGCTACCATTTCTGAGGTTCGTATCTCAGTAGCCTCCCTACGGGAAGATATATCATCGAGTGCACTCCGGTCCGAAAACTTCCCCGAAATCCTCAGACCCAACTGTGTGCTGCTTCCGATTCGAGACACTTATGCTTTGCAGGAAGTCGAACAAGTTCCCTTTGGAGAGGGCCCTGCACCTCTGCGAAGAACAGGGATTGGTTCAAGAGACCGCTTTCCTGTATGAGAGAATGGGCAATCACAGGAAAGCATTGACGTTGATAGTGACCGAATTGGAAGATGTGGAGCAGGCCATAACCTTCTGTAAAGAACAGGCTCGAGACGACCTGTGGCAAATCCTCATTGATCTCTGTGTTTCGAGACCTCAGCTCCTCAACGTCCTCCTGAACCATATCGGCAATTACATCGATCCAACAATGCTCATCAGAGCCATACCGAAGGGCCTTGAGGTAAATTACCCCATCGAGTCCCTTTCAATCCCACCACCATGTTCGATCGGTCTCCGGACTGGTCCCTGCGAAGTGTGAAACTCTCCGATTGAAAGGCATCACGAGGCGTTCGGCGGATCTCTGACTCGGGTCTGAAATTATTTCCAGATCCCGGATTTGAGAGATTCGTTGGTCAGAATCATCCATGACTTCAAGCTCCAAATCGCTCTTCGAGAGAGCTGCCAGAAGATCATTCTCAGCAACCACCGCTCTTTGTTCGAACGACACTTCAATTTGCGGCGGAAACCGATTCATGTTCCCGCAGACTCATTGTGTGAAGTGAGTAGCCCTTGGGAGAACACGGTATCGATCAGCTCTCGATATTCGATGGTGATTCTTCGTCTTATTCAGCGGTGATGTTTTCGTTCCCCCGACAGAGTTGTAATCGGCCAATCGTTCAGAGAGACGCCACTCGGATGATGAACGTGATTGCCTTCGCTTGCGAGCACAACTACCATGATGCATGTGTGGAGAAAACCGACGATTTGAAGTGCCGAATATGCTTCAACAAAACCAAATCAAACTTCTTCGAATACTACAATGCTTGATGCAGCGGAAGACATGTACGTCATTGATGGTCCTCTGATGTCTCGATCGGCTGAGGCTGCGAGCATAGGTTTCCTGGAGCGTGATCGAGCGAAGCTCTCCATCGGGAGCATGCGACACTATTGGCATTTCGCCGATCTGTACAGCCCTTGAATGAATAGACGATTATCTCAAGGGGATCGTCCGCGGAGTGATTGGGAGGAGTGGAATGCTTCCAGGGAATGTCGCCTAAATTGTGTACAATTCTAAAATTAGGGTAAAGAACATTTTTTGGGGTGATGAGCGGTGCTGTTGTTGGTACATTCTCTCGTGAGAGGAAGTTCACGATTTCATATGATTAGTTTCGAATAAAAAACCTTGTTGATTTTCCAGACCTTCGCAAAGATTTGATGCTGCGCACAAATTAGGCGAAATATGATAAGCTCAGAGTATAAACATAGAACTTTAATAAATAACATGGTATGTACAACACTGTTCCAGAATACGGCATGTTTACCTATTGCGAGTTCTCATGGATGTGAGTGGATCGGGCTCAATATCAATGATTCATCCGCTATTCTCGAGTCCTTATAGTTATGTGTTTGTCGTTCGTCCTTCAGTGTCAAAGAATTTCCGATCCAAAAATATTCCCATTCCAAACGCAGTTGCCAATCAATTGAATAACTCAAACATCTATCAACCTCTCTTTTGATTGTTTCCCTTGACTTTGAGGGAACAAAGGAGCGGACGGGGACTTCGACATCCCTCCTTTGGCCAACCGTTCGTTCAATGCTTTCAGAGCCAATTGCCTGTAAGGAAAGATTCGGCCGCTGAGTGAGAAATATCGCTCGATGCCCCCATGGGCGATTCAGAAGAACCGACACCAAATTGTTTTTGGGGGGAAAGAAGTTCTTCCCGGTTCTCAGACGCGATGAGAACTCCGGAAACGGTATGAGACAGACTGACTGACTGACTGACTTACTTCCTTCTCTCAGCATCATCTGCGGGCGAGTTAGCCGCCGAGAGACCGCTGGAGGAACCGGGCATGTTGATGGCGATACTCGGTGCACTGTTTGCCATAGTGAACTTTCTCGCCGGTCTTCGACATACGCCGACTTTAACGAAGAACTCGAAAATGGCGTTGCAGATAACAGCAACCGGAGGCTGGAGAACATTTGGGAAGAAGCTGGCGAAACAGAAATGGTCGGCAATATCCCCTTTCGAGCCGTTCGAGTGGGCTTGCCAGAACCGAAGGTACAGCCAGGAGCTCAGAGTGCCGGACAGGTACATCACGGGATACGGTGGGCGAAGCATACCGATCGTATACAAGAGAATCGACAGTGCCAGAACTGTGAGCGGCATATTGCGGTTTCGTAGCTTGCCAATCTTCGGAAGAGCAACGAGCACGTTATCAGGCATCAGCTGCTTGACGGCTACGATGATCGCTGCCGTGTAGCCCGCCATGCCGTGAATTTCAATGTTGAAAAGATATATCGCTTGACCGGTGAACCAGTACAAGAGGATGAAATACACGACAGACAGGAAAGCCGTGCTCACGTTGACCACACAATAGAATAACAACACCTGCAAGTAATTCGAAGGAGTCAACAATGAATATGGGATTCTCATGTGCTGAAACGACTATTCCCCGTCCCACCGCAGAGCTCCCTAAATCGCAACAGATCAAATGGATGCGGGATGCGGATCCATGCTCGTCTCCCCTGGCATATACGGGGGCCTGCCGCCAAATGCTAGATGATCCCCCGCCGTTACTATTCTGATGAAGGCAGCTCCAATGAATCGCTCGGCAGGGAGCTGGATCCACAAAGTTCGACAATATCTCAGGAGAAATGGGATCGAGCATGCAGGAAGCAATGCGGGGCGGGGGATGGGGTCGAGTGTTTGCTCTGGGTCGCGGCTCACAACCACAAGGTTTTCAACCCAGAGTCGTCTGTGTATGATTCAACGTTCGATGCTCTCATTGATTAGCCCTACAAGAAAGCTAAAAAGCAGAGAAGGGAAGAGGTTCGAGGTGTCCGATCGTATGTATTCGGTGTCGAACTCGCAACTAGCTCTCCGATGAGCTGGCTACTTGGAGATTCAAAGGACTTCTCGGATCGACCTCGCTCATTCTCACCTCAGCGTTTCCCCACAGAGGCTCGACAAGTTTCCCACACAGTGTGATCGCGACGATGTCACCGATGAGCATGAGGATGCTATTCTCGAAAAAACAGTGCGTGAATAGTGTCCAAACGCAAAACTTCGGCGGCATGATATATCTGCGGAAGAAAAAATGCCGGGTCAATACACCTGCTCGGATTTTCTCCATCACGTTGTATCACTTTCCGGGAACATTGGAGCGGGTTTTCCGGGTCCTCTACGCCACTGTAGGGGGCTCAGACGAGACCGAGTCGTTCCAACGGAACGAAACGAAAGAAGAGACAGAGCAGCAAGATGCTCGGCCGGAGCTCAGAGGCTGATGGTGGACGGAGAATAAGTAGACGAACCGAGCACAAGGCATCGATCAAATCGAGCTGCCTCGCGCGAGAGCCGTCCTGCTGAATCCTGAGCTCAGAAGATAATTCGGAACTCACTGGAAGGGGGACGAGGAGAATAGAACGAGACAGGATGTCGAATACTTACGCTGGTGTGACAATGACTTTTTTGAAGATCCCATTGTTGTATGAGAGACAGTATCCGATGAACAGGAGTAAACTTAGTCCTTTCACAAATCCGGAGCAGCTGGAGGTGGCTGCCGACACCTGGGATAATATGTATGGCACATTTCTCGATAGAACTCCTCCGGCCATCGCACAACAATTCGATAACACTGACGTCGTTGTCAAACGCTAAATCGTCATTTCGATCGGGAGTCGGAACCACGTCAATCCCAACGCGCGAGCCCCGATCACGCCTTCGTAGCACGAGCCGGTTGAGGTTCTTTTCGAGAACTCGCTCAGAATCCACGTCTCACGATTTTGCGATGTGCTCTCTGCAAGCAAGACCAGTGCTGATCGCTCGACCGACTTAAGAACGACCACTGCAACGGTGTGACATAGGGGGTGGAAATTGGTCCGCGATCTCCCGTACGATTAAGTTCGGGATTCAATAGGGTTTCCTCTAGGTCGCGTCACCCACAATTCATCATGGTCGCGAGTAACCGCAAAAACTCAGACTATGCTTCAAGGTTTCGAATTTTAGCGCCTTCCTCGTTCATGCTCGTTTCCTGCGTGACAACTGAACATAAGTCTCCGTCGGAAATGATGCTGACTGCCGAAGAACTGATCTCTACGAATTTTTCGTCAGTTAGAATCCATGCCGGAAACCTAGCTAAGATCGCTGAATTCTTGAGGAGAATTAAAAAATTTGTTCCGAGTGTTTTTGTATCGTTCGTCGAGAAATTCGTCTGCTAGGTCTCCATCTTTCTTTTCTGGCCGACTTCCTCGAAGGAAGCCCCGCTCCACGTGGAAATGGCACTAAAGTGAGTTTTCTCTCAAATCACGGTATTGTCCGCGTACTTTCACGTGCCCAGGAAAACGGGAATCTGCAGGGAGCCTCGGAACTCTCTCAGAAAGGGTTGGCGATTGATGGGCCAATGTTACGTGCCGACCTGCTCGTCGTACACAGCGTGTCGGCGGGAGTTGAAGCGAATTGTTGGGTATGAACACATTGTCAACCTCAATCAGCGAATTCTAAACTAAGTACCTGCTCTTCCCCATAGATACAACCTCATCATCGGACAGGCCAAGGGCCACCGAGTCGTGAAGAACAAGCGAATCGTGAAACCCACGGCTAAGGGAGGAAAGGTCTCGGCACATACCAAGTTCATTCGTGAGCTCGTTCGCGAAGTCACTGGATTCGCTCCTTATGAAAGAAGAGCTATGGAATTGCTCAAGGTGGGTGGTTGGTTACTGAATATTGAACTCCCTTCTCCTCCATTCTCTTACTCCGCGCTCGGTCCGGGTTCGCCGTGAGAATAACCTGTCCATCGAACGAGTAGAGCCGATCGAGACTACGGTCTACTCCGCCTCGCCTCCTCGTCTCATGTGATGAGGATGGGTATGATCACTCTTCTTTTTCGGGTAAATGACACAAACTGAGGTGGGTTCATGTTTTTCAGGTCTCGAAGGATAAGAGAGCATTGAAGTTCTTGAAGAAGCGTCTTGGCACCCACCTCCGCGCCAAGAGGAAGAGGGAGGAACTGTCCAACGTTCTCACTCAACAGAGAAAAGCTGCGGCCCAGGCACACAAATAAAGCGTTTACGAGGTGTGAGCCTCGGTTACGTGTACATGCGGTGTCTTTTTTTCATACCGCGATCAATTATGCCAATCGAGCCATTCTTGAGGTACCCGAGTTACTTTTCGGTAGGTGAGCCGCCTTTTGGTTTTTAGAGCCCACACTCCATCAGGGCAAGCCCAGATTACCCAGCTCAGCTTAGTCAGACGAAGGATATCCGAGGCCTGATGTACTTCGAGTGCTATGGCATGAGACGATCAATTCGATTCCGAGGTTGTGACGAGGAGCTCCCTCGGTCTCTCGTGGCTGAAATTGGTATTCTTAGGCACCGGTTTGACTGACTGAAAATGCGCGAATCCCCTGGACGGACGTGGCATCCAGGAACCGAGATTCCCGAGGCCCCGCTAGTGACTTGAGGCTCAGATCGGTCGTAGTCGGCCCGATCTGTGGACTCGCTCCATGCTCTACTCGTGATCGGCTCCAAACGCACGGCCTCACGCTCTCTTGTCCCGTAGGAGGGAAAATCTTGTAAATTCGTGCGTATATCAAAATGCAAGCGTTCGCGTTCGATGGTCGTCTCGGGACTATATAGAGTCCGAAATCCCCAGGAGGGGAGCGTAAGGAAGGGTGATGTGGGCTCTGTCTAGCTCCTTCCCCCGGTTCGATCTCGACCTATCTCTTCGGGATGACACCAATTCCTAAGAGATTGCAGTGGGGGTGGCTGGGGCCCTAGACGGGGCAGCGAGGATACTGATTGATCATGGATCGTCTCTTTATCGTCAGCAGTTCTGGCCTTCAGGTGGGGGAAATCGGAGTTTCCGAGTGTGGAGCGGGAATTCGGGGAAATCCGGATCGCCCAAAATATCAGGATATACCTATCGAAATTCGCGGAATAGAGTCTCATGCATATCGGGTATTCGGGAAAAGGATTCGAGAGCGCGGGGTTCGTGGGGGCGAATTCCGGGATACGTTAGCCCACACTTAATTGGCCATGATCACTTACCCGGAGTTCGATCAGAGAGGATCAACCCGGGGTCTGGAGGCTCGATCAGAGAGAGGCCGCTGTTCTTCTCTCCTCTCGAAGAAAATCGGAATACACTCCTGTATATCCCGACTGCCCCCTCATTCTAGCTACCGATGACATATAGAAGCCCAACAGACTGCGTCGACATTCGCTTCTAGTGAAAAGCCTCTGGTCGGAAGTTGGACAGGATTCGAAACAGCACCGGAGGAGTCGAGGTGTTCATGTGTTTGGTGCAAGTGTCCCTCACATTCGGCGTTTTGAGAGCCTTCTCCTCAAACTCCGAGCGAACGTGACAAACTGCAGCTAGTGTGTATCTACAGAAACTCGATCGTGTTTCGTTATTGTTCGTCCGTGCTCCGTTGCCGGCTGTTGCCGCCACGGCAAAGCGAAGAGGGCGCTGCGATAGTCTCAGCTGACTGATAGAGGGCGGCACAGTCGCTGTGTTGTGGTAGCGTAGTGAACTGTGGTTGGTGAGTGCGCTGCTCGTCGTCGCCGTGGTCGCTGCTGCTGCCGCCACTGCCACTCGACCGACCAGTGGTGGCTGCTGCCCTCGGCTCAGTCTGCTGCTGGCTGTCGTCGTCGTCTGTTCGTCCGTCGATCTGGTGATCGGCGTTTGTGTGACGACTCGCTTTTTATGCTCTATTATAAATGCAGTGCTCCCCTCATGACATCAAGGAACAACTCGTGAGGGCTCTCGACCAGGACCACAATGTAAGCGCTTTCTGGGGGGGACCGAAAAATGCCGAAAAGAAAGCACACTTGTAATATACAGAGTCATTTCGGTTAGGCTTAGCTGGCCACTACCAGCACGATCGGCAGCAGCTAGTAAAAGCGGCTGCCGTCCACCAGCCACCGACTGAGAGGCGAAAAACTTGCCCAAATTCAACTTGGCTCGTGCCAGGACCCTTGTCCCGGCCGGCCGTGGTGTGCAGATGGCTGAACACGCCCGCGCGGAGGTTCGAAATCGACGCTTGCGAAGTTCGGCCCCGTCGAGAACTTGCGACGGACTGATGTACAGTGGGCGCCTCGGTCGTCTCGGCTGCGATTCATGACGCCGGCGCCGACTTGTTTGGTCCGACATGTCGGCTCAACTCGCCGGCATCAGGCGTTGGCTGCGGCTGTGACTATTAGCGAGGGATGATTCTCGAATGCGTGTCTTCTGCCAGTTGTATGTCTCTATCTCGAGTATTCGAATGAATGAGTTTTTTTCGTTTTCCTCTCAATGGTGTCTGAGATACTGAAGTTCGATTGTCCGTGTCGCCCGAATCGTATTTTGAGTTCTTCCGAAGCGAATGCGAGATATGAAAACATTGAGTGCTTGTGAGATGCGATACGGAGTGTTTCTCGGAAATATGAGTTCAAGCTGTGAAACTTGAAGCTTCGATCATTGCTTCTGATAACGGAAGCCTTCTCGATGAAGCCTATCGCTCCAGCGCCGGCTGACCGTGGATTTGCCGTCGGGTCCTTGGAATTTAGCGCGTCGCACTTACAGCTCCGCCGAGAGCTCCCCATTGAATTCTCGAGGAGCGTCCCCCGGACATTTCGGAGGAGATTCGGGGCTTCGGAGTGTTCTATGTCGCTCCTGTCTCGCCCCGGCTAATTGATTTGCGGTGTGGCAAAGACAGCTTCTCTGCTTCTGTTGACCAGACAGAGAGTCGTTCTGGAAAATTCCGTCCGTGTGTGTCGTAAGGCCCCGACTTCGTGCTCGCTGAAGTCACCCGTCAGGGTCCGCCGAAGATTCCATGTGTCTCTCGGTCATGTGCCGATCATTTGACTCCGTTCAGGAATCGATCGGTGTAGGATTCGTGCGGAAGTGTAATGTGAATCGTGATGTTGCTACAACCGACATTTCGGCCTTGTGGGACCGAATAAAGTGAATGCTATGCGCCGAAAAGTCTTTGGTTCCAAGACTGGCAACATTCGTGTCCGGTGTAATTCCATCGGGATCTCACCGGGTTTCGACGCATCATCCGGCGCCGAAATTCCCTTTGAGAAGGCGTCTCTCGATGTGTCTGTACCTCATTTATTACATGCGTGTAGTGAAGTAGTTGAACTTGAATGCTGGCAGGCCATCGGAATCGATGCCCTGGTCTCCTACAGCCGCCGAATGACTCATGGTACCTCCTTGGTGATTAACGTTCGGGGATTCCGTGCCCTGACCAAGGTTTTCCTCGTCGCGTTTAGCATAGACTCGAAAGGCTCTATGTCCGGAGCTTCGAGAATTCATTCGTACGGAATCGCTTGCTAAGCGCTGGGTTGACGACCCAGCCGGCTCGAGATAATCTAGAGCGAGTAAGAAAGGATTCCGTAGGGGAGACTGAGAACTCCACGAGTAGACGAGTTTCTATGTAACGTCAACTTTTATTCCATTACACATAGCAGACAAACTATCTCGGGAAATGAGCACGACCACATCAGCGGCTACGACAGCGAAGAGCGTGCTCTCCTGCAAATATTCAATTGTATTTCTAGTCGACAGAATCGATTGTTAACTGACACGTCATGCACATGATGCCACTTGTTCAATATTGTGAAACCATTCTCCTCGTTCCGTTACGATGATCCCGAAAACCGGGGAGTCTCGAGCGAACCAATCGCGAGCGAACGAAGGAACGAGCGAAAAAAAAGTTAATAAAAATGCGAACGATTTGATCAATCGACCTACAAAATACTCTTTTGATTGTATTGCAACGGGGGAATCGAACAAGCAGCAGTTATGGAGTCACGATGAATTCGGAAGTCGACAATCAGACTCCTCTGTAGACGGAAACCGATCTGCGTTGGGTTGATTGGATTCAGACCTTACGGACTGACTGACTTACTGACTGACTGACCGATCGATTAGAGCGGGACGGCTGCGGAGCAAGGTGGATAGGAGCTGAAGATATCAGCGGGGATCGGAGAAGTCAAATTCTTCCGAAAAAAATTCGCGTACGTACACGCGACTTGATACGGGGCCAAGCCGTGGTCTAGTCGAAGACTTTTCCCAAAGCTTCCCGGTGCGACACGGGTGTCCCGTCCTCCCGTGGGCCTCTGTCGGGCCCAGTGGCGACTTGAGATGCGAATGTGCAGCCGCTGCCGCCGAATTCTTCTCTTTCCCCCCGTTAGGAACGAGCACACGCGCGGGCGAAACACACACATATAGAGTTCTTACAGCAGAGCCGATGCTGCTGCCGGCCCTCGCAGCAGCACAGACTCATACGATACCCTTGGCTCAGCAGCCTGGCAGACTCACGCTCACCACATGCTCAGTCGCGCAGCTACACACACACACACGAATTCGAGGGCGAGGGCTGGATCTGTGCGTTGCCATGATCCTTCCTGCTGCTAGTCGACCTTTCGGTTCGTTCGCTCGCTCGTTCGTTCGTTCGCTATCCCGGCTGGCTGTCTGCCGGGCTCTGCTGCTTCAAGCACCACCATCGCCGCCTGCGAGCGACGCGGATGACGACGATTGGAGAAGAGTCCGCAGCGGCGGCAGCAGCATCGTCGAAACCAACGACGACGGCGGTGCCGACGAGTCACAGAGCTGCAGCGGCTTCGTTCGCTTGCTCGAGCAGCAGCCTGTGCGGCTGTGGATGGTTGGATGCTACAGCAGCAGAGAGGTCGACCAAGCTGCAGTAAACGAGCAAGCAGCAACCATTGCTGTTCGAAGCTCTAGTTTGGGTTATATTGCGGTTCCTGTCGGAACGGAACGGGGCGAAATTTCGAAATTTTCACCAAATTTCGCCCGACACCGCGCCGATCCATGGGCGAAGTTTCACGCGAGTCCTGCCAGCGGCTCATGAGAAAATCGCGAATATCACGTGGAGCACGTGGACATACCGCATCGATTGTGTGGGTCTGCCGGCCGGCTAGCCAGGCTGCCTGGCCGTTTCTCGATGTGGACGGATTTTTCCGTGGCAAACGTCAAATTAATCACTCGCCGCACCGAGATCGTGCGTCTCTGAGGCTAGAGAAACGCCGACATTTCTGCCCTCGAAATTCAGAACTTCCTTCGGAAGGTAGCTGATGCCTTCGGCTGCGGGGCTCGTTTGCGCAGTAGTTGTCGTCGCTATCGGAACGACGCTCGCTGCTCTCCCGCTTTTGTCTTCGATTCTCTCAGAATGTTTTGTCGGTCTATTATATCGTGTGTTTCGTCCTAAATCGCGCTGCTTGTCCTGAGCGATGAAGCGCCGATTGATTCAATTAACAGCTTGATTTGTTTGCTGATCAGAGAATTTTCCGTACAGTCTCGTCAGCTGATCGGTTCGGTGAGCGGTCCGCATGCAGGTCGAATTTTCTTGCCACAATCGTCGGGGCGGGGAACGTTAATCGACTTCGGCCAATGAGCTAGCGTGCTTCCATCGAGACATGAAGGATTGTTATCGATACCATGATAGCTTCTGATACTCTCATACGGTAATGGGAGGAATTTTCCCTCAAAATGGAAAGTCGACATCCATACAGATCCGAGCAGCTTGCGAGCGATGCTGCCGAGGACAAGGGTCGAGCGACTGACATTAGTAAACAACGAGCGGCATGTCGCAGTACTGCCTTCTGCTGCTTCTGCTCTTGTGACTACGGTCTATGCTGCCGCTCTTATCTTGCAGTGAGGCGGCGTCGACGGCGGTGGCCTTAGTCGTCGCTGCAGCGGCTGCCGTTGTTGTCGCTCCGGCAGCGATGGTGGTGGTAGCGGCGTTGAGTCGATTCTTTCGTTCGCTGCGACTGTCTGACTCGGTCGGCGGTTCTGCTGTTGCAGTTGTTGTCTGAGTGAGAGAGCCGAACAAGCAGTCAACCAACCAACCAGCCACCTAGCTGGCTGGTCAAAGCATCAGCTAGATAGTCGGCTTGTCGGGCGGTCGGTCCATGAGTTGGTCTTTTGCCCGGTTGTCCTTCCATCCGACCGAGCGGCCGACCATCGATTGCCATAGTGGGTCGCTCGGTCTGCCGTTTCTTGTCCAGACCGACAGCAGCAGCAGCGGCCATGGGGCAGCGGGAACTCCCGCTCTCCCGCCACCGCCCGCATACGCCGCTTACGCCATCTGTGGACTGACGAGGAAGAACACGCGAAAGCAATTCCGAGCGTGTGAACGAGCAAGTAGGCGGATAAGCGGACGAAGCACAACATGGAAATCGAAAGGACAACCGAGTGGGTCGAATGCCCCGTCGCCGCAAAACCTTCGGTCCATCAAAGACCGTAGCCAGGCGGATGGAGCGCTTAGTCGCGGGTGACGGGAGAGGGCTCGAGGGGAATTTTCCGCGACTCGGAACGATGATGTTGACGCCGCCACGGCCGTTGCCGCTGCTGCCGCTCCATGACATTTCCTCGAACCACGATCCCGTGCGGCGGAAAACTGGTGGCTCGGTCCCGCCAAGGATTATCGAGGCTCAGAGCGGGATCCCCCCATTTTCCACGGGACGTGAGCAGACGCTCAGGCGGCAATCCGAGGGCCACAAAGCCTCCGTTCTGTCACTCAGCGACTTCTCCTCTCTCCGCGGAATAGAACTACGCGAGCCCAGGTAGCTGTCAGCTGAGAGCTGTGGGGGAGGCGTCTGACTAAAAATAGCCAGACGATTCCTTCTCCACTGCTGTTCCGTAATCCGACGCATTGGCTGAGTGTACGAACGTCTGGAGGAGTTCGGTATCTTTCTTGTTTTGCCGCTCTCCCCATCTTCACATGGAGCAGGACCGGCGGCGGGAATAACGAGAGTCGGCTGACGTTATTTCGGTCGACGTCGCGCTATCGTGGAACTCGAGAGAATCGTTGCGATGGAGCTCCCGCTGCATGTTATGGTTCTCGTTCGCACTTCAGATCCATGAATCCGGCAGTTCCGGCACTTGCTGAAGTTGAATGATCGAACCCCGCGGCATAACCTTGCGGTTATCGACCCGACCCCAGACTGTACTCCAGCGTGGGGGCATGTAGATGCTGGACTTGAACTATGTAGATGGCGCGGGGATCGATACGCTGTCGGCCGAGGACCATCGATCGAACGGCCACACGAGACTTATGGAAGTCGGCGGTGCTTGTTTTTGAATATTTCTTGAGTGCGAGAGTCGACGAGCTTCTATGCAAGATCTTCGACTAATAGGAGAGGCTGATCAGGGGCTAAGTGGCCAAGGATCGGAAACTCGACGGTTCAGTTGGAATCATCGATTTCGAGAATATCGCGGCGTCTGTATACTGATTGAGATGAAGTTTGTGTCTTAGCCTAGAAATTGGATTAGCTCGGTGATGGGAGAAGTGATGACGCCATGAGTCAGGGATCACACGATGCCTGTCAGGCAACGATACAGTATGTAGATCCTAACTATCGGCTGTTCCGCTCCACAGGTGGTTGATATGGTGGCAGTTTTGGACTGCATCTCCATCTTGGAAGGCTTCCCGATCCGCCGGGAGGATTTGGAGGTTCGTTCGCGTCCTCAGCTGAGCGATGAATGATTTCCGGAGAGTGATTTGGTCGCCATCCCGAGCTCATCGAGATGAATTTGATTCAGTCACTTCTGTTCCATTCACAGAAAACACGTCTCGGCCGAGTGATCAACGAACTCCGACGGAAGACTTCGGACGTGGCCCTTCAGAAACGTGCGAAGGATCTCGTCCGGAGCTGGCGTAAGCTTCTGCCGGAGAACCCGAACATCTCCGCGGTCGTTCAGAAAGCCGGCCCTATTCCCCCGTTGAGCCATGTCCAAGCGCCACGCGTTGCTCAACTGCAACAAAGTGTCGTCTCGTCCCTCGGAGGTCGGACGACGAGTCCGGCGCTGAGCTCGTCGACCAGTCCGATCCTACGAACTCGGAATGGCTCGGGTTTCAAACCAGTCAGCCCCGCGATCCCAGGATCGCCGTCACCGTCCGCTGTTGCGCCGTTGGCCTCGCATCCCGGAGGGACGCAAGCGACACCGGCCACGGCCGCATCGAAGGCGCCAAATCGGAACAGTGTTGCTAACAAACGTCTCCGGAAAGAAAGTCCGCCCAACGGAACTGTAGGAGCAGCGAAAAGATCTCGGATATCGACGCCCACAACACTCGGAGCAGAAGGCGGAGCAAACACCACGACAACACCGGCGGCCACATCGACCCCAGCGAGGACAACATCGAATGGTTTTGACAGTTTGCTGAACTGCAATTCCAGTATCAACGCAACAACAGGAGCGGCAGCGACGCCGATCGGTTCCGCTGCCGCTGCGGCACCAGCGACGGGCATACCAAGCGGCAACAGTGCATTTGAAAGTTTAGTGAGACCGGATTCCCGAACCGGCAGCGTACACTCGGACGACGCGACAAGCAACGGGGGTTTTTCCTCTTCGACGCCTCGAATAGTTCCTAAGGTGAAGACGACCCAACAGCTGATCGACGAGTTGAAAGCGAAATCGGGCATCAACGTGTCGATCGATGGCGTCGTCAAGGAGTCGGCCCCGCCTAAGCGAAGCGCCGTCACTCCGGTCGTCTCCTCCACGACGAAGGGAAAACGCGGCCGACCGTCGCTCCACGGGAACGCTGCCGCCTCCCGCGTCGATTCCCCGACCGGAGCAACGAATCACAACTCGACCGGAGTGCACGGCTCGCGGCAAGCCGCCATGAACAACGCGAATTTCAACAAACTCCTCGCGAACGATGCGCGCGAACTGTCGAAAACGAAAAGCGAGCTCATGGACCGATTCCTGCAGTCGTCGCCGCAGTCGCAGAGCGACGAAAGCAACCACCAGGAAAACGGGCACATGAACGGCCTCACGAACGGTTCGAATGGTCGGCTCGGCTCTGGGAACGGTCCCAGTGTCCCGGCAGCGAACCCGGCAGCTGCATCGTCGTCGGCGGCGGCTGGAGCCCCGATGATGAACGTCGTTGACGTCGAGGAGGACATTCGGAGAATTATGGCGCAGCTCCCGCCCATAACGAACAGTGCAGAGCTCCTGCGCGAGTTCGAGGAGTCGAAAGATCAGGAACGCTTGTTCCCACCCCGAACCTCTGCTCCCACGGAGGAGGAGGTTGAACGGATCTCAAATGGCCAATGGCCGTGTGTCAACGGGAACTATGATATGGATGGCCAGTGGCGGCCATGGAACCAAATGATGAAGGCCCAGTCTGCCGGAAGCGACCCGCTACTCGTTCTGCCTTATGTAGATATTGAATGGTGATAAGCAAGAGATGACGAGAACGAAACAAACTGAATGAGCGAGAGTGGTAGCCGAAGGAGCGCAAGTTAGGGGTAGAGTGTACGCCACGCGCAAATGAGAAATACAAACGGGAAAACAAACAGAACGCATACACCACCACAAGCATCATCACACATATTAAGAATGAACCCGATTACTAGGCTGTTGGAATTAATTAAAAAAAAGAAACAAGACCTGAAGAAAGAAATTTCCGTCGATCACACTCCTTCGATCCTGACAAGCCAAAAACGAGAAGCAAAAAGGGAACCGATGCATACGATGGAGACCTACACAGTGTGAATAACGAGCAAGCGTGCAAATTCCGTGCGAGAACTCCGTACGTTATACGACCACCTGAGATGAACGAGAGAGGGTAGTGAGGGGGGGAGTGGAAGAATCAAGAAGCCACATCGACGAAATTTGGATCCGAATACATGAGGGTGAATGGTTAGACGAACACTTCAGGTCGGGGTAGTCGACGGAAACTTTGCGCTTCTGCAATCTTTGTGAACCTTGTAAAAAGTTGAAGATCTGTTAAATAATATTATTACAATTCTAATATCTATTCACCTGGCAATCGATTGATCGACGGTGCATGCTACCTGGCAGGAAGGAGAAAAGAAGTTTTCTCTCCAGGAGAGCAGAATCCATTCTCCGCCCATTTCAATTCACAATCAAGCGATCGCGTGAGTCTGACCCTTGAGTGATCATGGTCAGCGCAATCAAATCCATCGACAGAAGGCGATCAATCATTATTACTAGACACTGCAAAATCCCGCGATTCCGCGTTTTTCGATTTTTCTCTCCGCTCGTGGTGGAGAAGAGATGCCACAGTGGAGGGTATCGTCGATCTTTCGGCGAAAGAGGAGACTTCTCGGCATATCCCTGTTGTTTCTCGAGGAATCGATTGATTGAATATTCACCGAATATCTGAATTGTCCGAGTTGCTCATTGACGAGACGCTCGGACTGCGCTCAGCCCAGAGCAGCGAGTGCTCAAAATTCGATGCCGTATCCGAAGTCTGCGGTAACCTCGCGTCGGCGAGAAGATCCGCGAGATATTCATGAGAACCATCCTTCTTGCTGCACATGGTCGCAGCAAGAGGTAGAACGTGAAAGGATTCGGAAGGGAATGCGGACTGGTCACTGTATTCATCTTGATGTGAATGTACCGTGGAGATAATCACAATCGAGCGACAAACACATTATGCGAGCTGCGATAAGAAAAGGAATCGACCATACAACGAACTGAAGAATTTTCTAGCGCGGGGAGCCGCGAATCCGATTCAGGGATATTCATTTTTGGCATACCGGACGCGAAGTGAAAACAAAGCCTCCGGGAGATTCTTCCCGTAAAAGCTGCAACCGTCATTGTTGGAAATAGGAGCGTGCAGGTTGTACTTTCATGTATTAGAGCGAGCGGATATGTTAGTAGAAAACGTAGTGACGTGCCCGACGAGGACCCGGTGTCTTTCGCCGATCCCTCCAATGGAGAATGTCTTCTAAAGCATAGTTGAGTCCGGGAGATCCCCGTAGCGGACGCAGTTACACACTTAGGGATCGGAACCGCGAAGTGAAATTACCAAGGTCCCATAGGAACGACTTTGTTATGCTCTGCAGTGTATGCTTTTTTCGGCCGGACGGAACCACAAGGAATGTTTTTTCACACATCAAGTGCCAAGGATCCTCCCGCGCAGAACAAGGGAATCAACAGAATCGATATAAGCATCCATGGAACCGGGGACGACGGAATGAGCGCCTTTATCAAAGCAGAGGGACCCATTATTATTCGAAATTTGTATGACCAAAGCGTATTTTTGATATCGTCAATACGGCAGCATCAACAATGCCGTCAGTCCCGGGGGAGAATCTTACGGAACTCCGAGATCAGAGATGGAGAGGAGTTTCAAAGAAATCGCGCAGTATTCAAGATGGCTCCGCCCGACTTGGCCGAGCTTAGAGAGCGTCAATCCGATCCGTTGAGATATCGTTCCTCCATCGATGTGCAAAACAGGGCTCGATTCCGTGTCGGTGTTGAGCGTGCGCGTGCCGGATCCGCCATCCAACAGGTTAGCCCAGCACGTATTGTGCTCGGTTTGAAATCGAGTCGCGGCATTCTTCATCCATTCCAGTGTTCCTTAGTAAATATGAGTGAAAGCGAACCCAATCTGTGAGTGAAAGGGTGGCCTGTGCGCCTGATGTGAAAACAATGGTGTTCGGAGGATCGACTGCGAATCGGCAGCGATCCTTATCTTCAGTCAGAAGGAGACCATAAGTCAAATCGTTGATCTGGTCTGGAGACAGAAAGACTTGCTTCCCAATCTGCGATGCGTGCGCCCACGGAGCAAGACTCGGAAGAGCGCAGGGATTAACTTGGAATTTCAAAGATTTCGCGGCTTTTTTCGCAATGGCCGGAAGCGCGACTTTTGTTACTTTTGATCGAGGCAGACTCGCTGTCCTTGTACGATCGACGCAGACGACTGGAAATAGAGACGATTGACGGATTTTGTCGTGATCATGATGCATCGCAGTGAAGCGGAAACAAAGATTGACAGTCAAGAATGAGCTGGAATCAAGCGGAACCATGAACACAAAACTGGATAAGAGTTTAAATTTTGTACCATAATAAATGAATGAACATATTATTGACAAGAAAACTCCTGTTGTCCTCGATGCTTTTCTATTCTTGGGGATCATAATCGTCATCATGGAAAACCTGATTCGAGCCGTGGTTCGACCTAAATATTTCCGGAAGCAAGCCGAGACTCCGTCTGACACGAGCCTCGCGCATAATAAGAAATTACGTATGATGCATTGCATTGAAACAAACGCCCGTGCGGCGAAAGTCTAGTCGAGATCATTCCGCTCTGGGGATCGGAAGTAGCTGCCCATCGATATTCTCCTGATTTGACCAACATTGATCAGAAGTACGGGTGGCTTTCCGGAAGTGATCCAGTCAGGGTGATGTATGCTTGGTCCGCGCATCGTGTCGCGCTGCCCATTCGTCTTGCATTAATCGCCTCAGCACCAGAGCTTTTTTCGTTGCATTTTTCTTCTTCTCTAATACTTTCCCACGGCTTCTACGGCCAAACCTATTCCAGGTCCACCTGGGGAAGCGTCGACGTGAGAGGATGTATCCCTGGGTACGACGAATTATTTCCTTGTATGGAGATGGGGACCGTTCGCTTACTTAAAGTATTCGAGTTCATATCCGGATTGGCATCTCAATCCTTTGTCGGTCAAGCCATTGAAGCAGAATCCCCCCATGTGTATGTAGAACGAGGTCAGTCTGGCTTCACCGACCTCTTCGCCCGACGATTGCCTACAGATTGTCGATGGAAGATGGAACGGAAAGCTCTCCTAGGTGAGCGGAAGACGCTCAACTTGTCTGTCACACGACTTCTATCGGAACGGAAACAGCGTTCGTACGAAAAATTGGTCGGTTCCGAAAACGAGGAGAGAGGCGAGGCTTTGTCCTATCGGCAAGTCGAAGTTTACGAGACCGAGTCTAGCATCGGAGCCTCATTCTCTCGACATCTCGGATATACCCACTTCTGTATGGCGCTAGCGTCCGCTTTCATCTTTGGCGCCATTGTCTTCGCGACTGCTGGAGATTCAGGCTTTTCCGGCATCGGTTCCGCGGGCGCTCGATCCAATTCCCGAGGTGGTTGATGTCTCACTGGGGGTGGGAGCTCAGGGCGCTGGGTTGATGCTCGAGTCGGTGGGCGTACAACTGCTTAGGAAGTCAATGGAGCTCCCGCTCGCGCTGGGGCCGATGGAGGACGTATTGGCGCTACCGGCAATGGAGGCAGAACTGTCGTCGGGATCGATCGAGCTTCGACCGTCAGGGTAGCCGTTGGGCGTCCGGCTGCCTCCGCAGTCGGACGGGACGGACGCTCGAGCCGGTGGGGACGGTGGGCCTTGAACCGGCCCTGGAGCAGGTGGGGACGGTGGGCGTTGAACTGGCCTTGGGGCAGGTGGGGACAGTGGGCGTTGAAGTGGCCTTGACGCAAGTGGGGACGGTGGGCGTGGAACTGGCGTTGGAGCAGGTGGGGACGGTCGGCGCTCCACCGGCAGTCGGATCGATCGGGACGGCGTTCGTTGGACTCGCGGCGGAGTCGGGAGGAGAGCAGCGCGTCGAGCTTGCTTCGGAGCAGGCGGGGACGGTTGGCGCTATACTTGCGGTGGACTCGATGGGGCTCGTGCTGGTGCTGCTGACGGTGGAGACGGAGCCGATGCCGTGGCTAGCCTCGTCGGTGGGCAATGCACAGGCGGTTGAGTTGCCGAGGGGCCTCGCACCGACGGCGGACTCGGTGTACTCGGTGGAACTTGCGATGGAATCGAAGGGCCTCGCTCTTCGGGCGGGCTCAGCAAGCCCGGGGACGTTTTGGCTCGGGGCGAAAAAGGTGGAGGTTGCGGCATCGTCGGAATCTGTACCTCTGGACTCGATGCCTGGAGCCATTCTGGCATGAAGGTCTGCATTGGCAGCTTTCCTTCAGTCCAGTCGATGAACCCCGGCGCTGCCAAGTACCCATGTTTATTGCCCGGATGCCAAACTGCCGGGTTCTCGAGATAAAGACGATGAATCAGCTCCGGAACCAGTCTCCTGTACTCGGTACCCACCAATACGTAAGCTTCGAAAGCGTTGTAGAGGTCCTTCAATTCTTCCGACGTCATGAAAGTGATCGCATCATCGGTGTAGACTATCGTACCTTGCGTCAACAATTCCCATAGGCTCAAGGAATCCGTGGCGTTCTCTGTGTCTATTTCCGGCGGATCGAGAGAGGGATTTCTATAGGGGAGACAGACCACGTCCGGGGACGGGAAGTGGTGTTCGAAGCTTCCGGAGCTTGTTCGCAACTCATTGAAAAGATTCTCGGACGCTTGCAGTTTCGGCATGAAGTCCGCCAGGAGCACAGATTGGTTTCTTTACTCGATCACTTTGATTTTGTTTCGTTCTCGCTCCCTCTTTACAAAAGCTGG